AAATAGCAAATCAATTAAGCAAGCAAACACACTATGTATACATCATTGTTGTCTGAGTTAGCTACGAACATAATTTCAAAACAACTTAAAAGCTTCATTCTCCCGAAGAAATAAGTCATGACCTTATCTTATAATCTTCTCCCTGTTGAGACCTGGCACAAGACAAGAAAGAAGTTCGGCTTGTGCCACAACGCCCCTACTTCATCATCGAGTAGCCAATCACATGCAGAATTCAGAGGCGACACTGCACCAGATACCTAAATGATGAAAGGTATTAGCTCACTTTGCTTGCAAAAGATGCCTATGAGAAAAGGTTTTGAAAAATGACTTTCGAGGCATATGATAAACGAGATGAGGGAGATAAGCCGACAAAAGAACACCGAGCGAATGCAATAAAGTTTATTTCAGCCGCAATGATAGATAACTATAGCGCAAGATAATAACGAGATAACACGTCCACACAGGCTGCTGTGTGGTCCCATTCGGAAATTCAGTGTTCAGGGGAAATCGGCATTTTGTGCTGGCGTTTTTGCCCTCTGCCAACAAATCAGTGAGTGGCAATGGAAATGTCTTAGTTGGTTAGCTACGTAATGATGTAGCATTTAGGAAAAGTCAATACTTCGTGAAACATGTACAAAAATACTTGCCAGCCACACAGTTATATGCCTTTGACATAAACGGCGACACATCGATCACAGTACTTTGTCAGTAACCAATATGATAATAGTTGTTGCCGCTACAAGTTACCTTGTTTTAAGTTAGTTTAGTAAAGAATAGATGTCGCTGCTTTTTAGGTGGTCTGACACTATTTTGTAGACCTACATACTATATTGAACATTGCACCGATAGCTTATCCAAGAGGTGATACATTATTCAATTGCGGTTATTGCCCTGACGCCACGCGAACGCCATTCGGTTCAAGTCTCTCGATTGAACTGTCCCGCGTTTTTTGGCAACTGCTATCGCGGTTTAATGGCTTTGGTGCAAAACTCTATAGCGGAATAGTCCACCAAATAGAAACCACCTGAACCTTTGAATTATTTCGATTGCCGAACACGTAGCAGGACACCTAGCATTGGTTCCCAGATATTGTATTCCTTTTCGCGGTATTAGTTGGCTGAAATGCAAATATTTCGGAAATTAAATACGGTAAAAAAAAATTACGCTCTGCCAGAACAACAAGATCTGCGGGCTTGAGCCATATCCTGTCCATAGCGAACTAGACCTCGGACCGTTGACATGCAATCGTTTCAGCATCTGAAGAAGAAAAACCCTCTGTTCCAGCTGTAAGTTTTCCTACTATTAAACAAACTTTTTTTTGTGAGACTATTTGCATACCAATAGTAACTAGATCATTATGAAATTACTCGGAAAAAAACAATTCACACACACGTGTTTTTCATCAATATTGCCTGTGCACTGGAATCGTTATAGGTGTGCTTGATCAAACTGAGGTGGCCGGAACATGCTCTCACTGATGTGTGAAGATAGCCAATCAGATAAGTTAAATATTCGTAAAATCTACACCGACCCATTTACTACAGCAAAGATATTCTCTAGAAAGGCCTAGGTTAGATTCCCTGGAAAAGCGTCAAACCACTACACAGGCACAATGGCCAATTAAGAGAGAGTACTGATACTGAACGATTGTAATAAAGCCTTTCAAACATAGCTTTTTGCCAAATCCATAAGTGTGTTAAGAGCTACTACTATGGACCCATTGTAAGCAGCAGTAGTATAACATAGTAGCTTCATGAAATGACTATGCTCAACTTATATATGACTTTAAGAATGTTATCAATTAGGTCAAGGAACTTCCGATGGGGGGGCGAGGGGAGGCATTAAATGTCCTATATATTGCCGCCACCAATGATAAATATTACATACAACAACAACAACAACAACGACGACGACGATGATAATGACTGTGATTTATTGTTGTCACTGCAATGCTACCTTGGGAACTTCCTGGCAATACTTCGTCGTTCCGCCCACAGGACAACACAATCGTTTTCACTGCCATAGTTAAATCAGGACCATTGCTATGACTAAACGTATCTATCGCCTTAATGTTACTATATATTCGTATGTATATACGATTCTCCAGTATATACGATGTCAATTCTCCAGTTGTTTTTATTAGATGGGTTGTACACTATCCTTCTTGAAGCATCAAAAATGAAAGATGATGAAATTACATTGTACGCCACAAGGTGCGTGACCTATTGAAACGGGAACGCACAGTAGGTCGGCTAAGTTCATCTATTTTGACGTGTGCTACATGGTGTTTTGACGCAGCTTTTTTTTTTTTGATATTTCGAATGAAAAGCTCGCTTGATATCAGCCGTACCTGTAGTGTCAACTCTTGCGAAATACCACTTTAATTATTACCAATAGAGTGGAGATAGCATATACATAGACAGAACAATCTATAGTGAGCACAAATCAAAACTGACTGCTATTTCTACACGTGTGTAGAATTTGTTTTCCCTTTACAGACGTTTTGCGATATTCCATAAGGACGCTAAATAGAGCTATACGAGCATCCACGGACCGTTCCTAAAATGACTTAATTGATTTTGAGTCATATTTAGCTACATACAGAAAGCACTGTTTCTCCAACACACTACGGTTAGCTGTTGCTTTGTATAATATCTCAGGGCCAGCACTCGTAAAGCATCAAAAGTAGGAAGACTTCTCACTGTGAACAGAACGTCAATAACTCACTGGAGTGTGGATCGAACGTCCGAAATTTTTAATATAATCCGAATAGAAAGAAAGTTATATCGGAAACATATATTGTATGAGTTGCACAGTTGTAACTTTTATCTCAAATAATGTTGAACTTGGTTACACACAGCGTATATTTTTTTTTAGATAGATAATTATAACTAGAGCTAAACTATCCATATCAGACCCATGAAAACATAGGAGAAACTATCTCCTGGAGCATCCATTGTAGTCGCGCAAACGTGACGTTGGCGCCAACGTCACTTACTTATGTTTCTATTATAACGCGTCAGGTCGCGAACATCGAGTGCACCGCGCCGAAACATGTCCAAAGACGGCGTGCTGTTATAGACTCACACTCGTTGGATACGTGTCATAAATACGTAAAAAATACTGTCCGTCAATGTTGAGATCCATTTATCACTACCAATGTGCCACTTGAATATAAACACACAGCTAAACGGCTTTAGTTTAGGATGACAAAACATAACTTTTTCACAAGATCAATTATGTTAACTGAGAACAATCGAAATCACTGCTTCCTGCGATTCAATGTCAATACGAACTCTAATTGACCGCACTTGCGGACATAGAAGTCGATTTAAAGGTTAGCAGCAAAAATGTAGACAATATTTGATACAGTTACATGTTACAATGTTAATTTTACAACGAAATTGTTGCTTAGAGGAACCAACACGATGCAAACCTACGTTGCAAAAAAAGAACCCCCAATGGCATTCGTTTAATAGCAAACGGCTATTCGACTAAGGGTACCGCCGATTCGTGCAACGCGCCTTATATGCTTGCGCATTGTCTCACTCGGTGACACTCGTCGGAACGGTCTCAACTTACCTAGTTACTACCTTGCATTGAAACAAACAAAAAATTAACCATAACTATATGCACTAATCGAAGTCCATCGATTGCGTAATAATAACGAGGATAAAAACGGCATCTAAAACGTGTGCATGTATTACTCCGTATGACTTTTACCATGACCACTAACAACATCGTTGTCCGACAAAATAACTTTAAGGTTAGATTGAAGAGCAAAGCTCATAGCTGGACCGCTTCGAGGTTTTTTTTTTGGCTTCAAGCCAGATCAGCGTCCGATTCCGAACTGGATTCGGATGCCCCTATCATATCATTGAGTGAATTGAAAATGTAATGAACGTTGTGGAAACGCTGCTGGCGACATCTTTAACGCCCACCGAAAGCAAATAAAGAGCAAAATCCCTATTGCTCGCCAAGATTACATAAACGTTCTGTATGTGCTCGCGATAAGAATTTACATTCTACCTTAACATATCATACAACTTTGAAGGCATAGCTAGGCATACAGTTAAGTTTTCGAAGTTCGATTTATTTAGTATGTTAACTAGCATTACGGCATTTATATTGAATCACAAGAGCGAATTACGCCACCCTGCACAGGAGGCAGAAATCGCAATGGCTGGCTCGAGATATTATTAGAGAGAACATTCGAAATAAGCTTTCAACGTTAACAACGATTCATGAATTAATGAGGTGCTATTGTGCCTAGATCGAATTTGCAATGCTGTCATCTGAACTACTCATGACGCAACGTAAATGGCTGTCTGAATACGTTGCAAAGGTAGCCTCCTCGTATATATATATGTGTGTGTCTATTACTAGTATTCGCATTAAGCGTTTATTTTAGTTACGAAGAAGTGTGAGCAGAGTGCTACCGGTATTCTTGTTATCACTGACATCACAGTTACAACTAAAATCTACAAAAACTTCGATCAATAGTCGAGACGTAATGGCGGAATTTCACTTGAAACCCGCTACCCTTAGATTTCGTGTCTACTAGACAGCGTTGTTTATACCGCATCGGTGCCTCCTGACCGTATCCGGATCAGGTAGCGGAGACGCTAAAGACTGGGTGGGAATCATGTGTTCTACCCATCTGAGCATAGATCACCGCATACGCCTGCGTATGTAAATGAAGTAAGTGTCCAAAGCAGTGGTAGTGGCCACGTTCAAACTGCAGCTGGCCATAAAGACTTCGAACTGTAAACAGAAAGATTTCCCTGACATTTTATGCTGCGAATTCGCCAAACCTGTTCCGACACGTAAAATTCACAGAACAGATAGCTCGGGATAAAAAAAATGCTAAACGAAGTTCCAATTAGCTAGCAATAAAGTCCAAATCTCAGTCTGATGGTAGTACCATCTACCTTAAAAAAGGGTCACGCGCAGCTACACACAGTAACGAACAAGAGAATTTAGTCTAGTTATCAACTTACCGGGCTATTTAAGCCTCCTTCGTCCGTGACGCTTGTCGTATCGTTTTCTTTTTGATTCATTTTCATCGAATTTACACAGACCTTTCAGTTTACTGCAGCACGGTAGATACAAAACGCTGCTTCTTAACAGTCTGTTTTAATGTAATGTATGAACAACTTTACGCCTTCATCCTCCTATTTAGTGCGGCAATAGTCTTCGATTTCAGCCAATTCAGAGATCTCGAAAAAAGTTGAGTAGCACGCAATGTTAGGGAAGGCAAAGGGAACATACTAAAAAAAGGTTTTTTAGAATCTGGCCTAATTATGACACTGATAATCCGGCGTATCTGGCCAATCACAGTCGAGAACTTTACGATACCTCCATCCACTAACGCCCAAATAGCAAAACCTGTTAGTTCAGTTGGACTTCGCGACTGCTACGAATCAACTTGACGCCGATAACGGTCAATGACAACTACGAACGACGGTTACAGTTTGATTAGAGCCGCTTTCTGCCACTTGCGTCTTGACGCGCAGGCTACAATGTACCATAAAGCCGTTTTGCTTCTCGCCAATTCGTGGCGAGAGGGAAGAACAGTCGCGCACACACAGAGCGCCGTAACCAGCGGACGAGCAGCACTAACACGCTTCATGTTCCATGACCCTCGCCTCTCATAGCCTTCGCACATCAAAGAAGACATCAGTGGCATAACAACAACAGCGACGGCGACGGCGACGGCGACGACGACGACGACGACGACGACCACCACCTCAGCAACGAATACCAATTCTGATAAGAACAACAAAAGTCGTCATAAACGTATATGTCTTGGGGCATATACAATTATCAGCCAGCTACGTCTGCTGATCTGGTTGAGAGATACTACGGGATCGTTGCTTCAGGTTTCGCCAGCGACACGACGTGTGTGAACAAAAAAGGTCATGTTATGATGACGGCAATAGCAACTTCGATGTCGAACTCTGTCCCTCGACTATAATCCGTTTGTGCGGGGGATTGTATGCAGGCACCACCATCTTCATCATCATGTTATGATGACTTCCACAGTGGTGCAAGAAAAGACGACAGACTACAACCATACTCGTCCTTCAATATATAATTGATGTAATATTACCAGTTTGCAGACACGCCCACACCCATTATATGACGATTGTTGAGCTAGCCGCCGAAGTCTGATACCTGTCGCGTTTAGTTATGAGCAACACAAACCCAGTCAGTGTTAATTACCGAGCGTTGCTTTAACCGAGGCCATGAAACCAATATATCTAATGTAAAATGACAAGGCGTGAAATTACGCTGCAACATGAAATTGTCGATACCGTAAAAGGCCGACGGCATTATTCTTTTAGCAGTCAGTTAGCCTTGTCAACCCTTTAAATAGCACGCACAAACTGGCATACTGGAAATTGATCAATTAGAAAATCTAAAATGTTTAGTGCTCGCTTACGGGATAGTCAATTCATTCCCATAATTTTTAAATGCGAGGCAAAATTAAGTAACTTTCCAATTCTAGTTGACAATGTGACAAGGGCTATTAGTTAGCCGGCACAATATTATTATGGAACGTATTGAGCAATGCAAGATAAGCGATAAAGCTTGAACAGTTAAAAAAAGAGAGATAGTTTCAAATGAATACTCCATAAGGCTAAGTGGCGAGCTACGTCTGACCGCATTGCATTTAATTTCGGTACGATTCTATCCAGATTGAATTAGAGGAGTTCGAAATTATTCAGATTCAGTTAAGTCAAGTCAGGAGTGTCAAGCTCTTTGACGGCTAGCTGCGAGTATGGCGAAGACCACGCCAGGCTAATACTTATGGCTGCTTCTCGCCAACACTTTGCCTAGTTGCTCCCCACATCAATTACCAGCTGTAGGAAAAGAGTGTTATCAAATCTCGTAAAAGCTGTATAGCGTCATGTGTCCTTCTAACCTAAATTGGCCATGCTCGCCAGCTTGACCGCAACAGTATAATACAACAGTACACGGACTTGAAAAAATGTTTGGAATGAGTACCAAACCTGCACATCTGGCGGTATCACGCCTCACCGGCCAACTCAAAATCAACTTTTTGGCATTACACGAAAGCGTTACGTGGACAGTACTATCTCAGAACTTTCTCCTCATAAGGCTTTGTTTTCTATTCTAAATTAATTAAGCAACAAGTAAATGAACAATTATGTACATAATAAGAACAGGAGCGCCACGCTATTCAGCAAATCCGTGTAAACATTTGAATTTTACTATATACCGCTCACAAAAAAAAAAGAAAAATGTTTGCTCCGTAGATCTCTTATTATCATATCATTACCATCGGACAATGGAATTTTATGGATGTAAATTCAGATCCGATTTGTAAAATGAACAATTCCATTATTCTATAGTTAGATGTATTTAAAAATAAAGAGTGACAATCGAATCTTTAGAAAAGCAGCCTAACTAAAATTTGACCTCTGTTAGAGTTCAAATGTACACATTAGGGTTGGAAAACATTTTCAAAAATAAGCACCTGCAAACCTTCATGTATTCTCCGAAGAACAATTGTTACATCATTATCATTTATTTACATCTTCAACAGATGCATATAATTAATATAGAAACACTGACAGAAACTATTTTTCCTGCTACTATATGGCCCGGATACTTTTTCTCATATCAACTGCATATTGAACAAACTGAAAAATAGACATACTCTGCTTTTTATTAAGGCCTTCCAGTGCCTTTAGAGCTTATGCACATATAATACTTGTAAAATATTATAAGTTTCACAAAAAATACCATAAGTTTTAATACATTTTACATTACTGAGCTCCTTAGGTGAACAAGCAAAATCCAAGTTGTCGACGTGCAGCATTACTAAGGGGAGATACAACGCTGTAGAACTAACGACTGTCGGTCTGCCAGCAATGATCAAAGGGTTTTCGAGTGATCATCAATTCAACGGGATAATTACTCAGGTTATTTGCCGAGATCTATAAAAAGGTCACTTTTGTTTTTCTAATTCTAAATTAGGACACGTTTACCAAATGCTAAAAATAACGAAGACCCCTGCATCTATGCTTACTTACGTGGCCCTGAAGAATCACAATAAACGGTGATGACGAGGTGCTGTATAGCCATAACTGGCGTTTTACAAACTACTCAATACAAACGGAGTTGGGTGTCAAAAACTAAGGTATTAAGCTAGGTTTTTGCAAGCGGAGAAAAATTTCCACAACTTATTTCTTTACTGTAAACCTGATTAAATTAAAAATGAGGACAACATTTCTAGTATCATCAAGGGGCTAGTTCCGCAACGCAGAGCCACGTACGGCAAATGTTTACGTCTAAAAGTCTTGAACAAGAAACTAGAAGGAGTAGCGCTCATAGCATCAAAGGGTAGAATTTAAAAACTGCGTGTGAATTTAGAACTTTTTCGAAGGATGCCAGCAATAGCCGTAGGTAACGTTGGAGGCTCGAACTGTGATATTTAGTCCGCTAATCTAACGCCTAAAAAGAGCCCTATGGACTGAGTTGGATTGCTCAGTTGGGCGTGGACGATATATAGAAGAGGGAAATCTTTTGATGTCAATTCAGTAATCGAAATTACTCAAAATGGTAAGTCCTGATTAGATTTGAAGTAGGTTAAATGAGAGCAAAAATGTTTAGCAGTTCGCAGTATTTGCCTAAATACGACGATATCTCAATATCAATTGGGGATCTGTCAAAAACGATTACGTGTCCTTCCCTCCTTGGATATGAACTAGTAATAAGAATATTGAAAAATCACTATACAGGGGCAAGAAGTAGATTTCTTTTGGCTATTTGAACAAGTATCTTCTGCTTGGAAAGGGTTCCTTGACAGTTGGAGGGTTTTCATTACACATCCGCTTAAGTAGCAGGAAACAATTGTAATAAAGAGCGAGTCTGACTCTGCGAAACGTTGGATATATCCATGCCTTAACACCATTTCTATAATTCTTATAATACAATGCTACAGAATATAATATACGTGTTGAAAGTGAAATTGGTCATAATCTTATCCAATTAGCAATCCTGATAAATGCTTTAAAAAAAATTATTACAGCCCAATGTTTTCGTTGTTTCAACATTCGGGACGTTTGCTACTTTAGCTTAGACGATTACGTATGAGCTATCCAAACGCTACGAGCTTTTGTTCCGTCACTGCTAAGAGGCATTTGTCTCAACCTGCCAACAATCTTTCGGCTCTTTTTGTAATGCCAATTAGCCCGACTTTTTGTGCTTCGTACATGTGCTCGCTTTTTCTAAATTTCGACTGACAAGCGAGTCCCTGTTAATTAATCGTATTCGGTTTTTATCAGCCGATTCTGATTCTAATTTAAAACGCAAAATGAGACAAAAAAAAATCACTGTATTTCTATGGCTGTCTATCAGTTATTTTAGCAAGAACAAACGTACTGATAATTAGAAGAACGAGGAGCTTCCGAAAAGAAAAATAAGAGAAATAAATCACTATATACAGAATGACACCCGGTGTATAGCTCGTCGCTAATCTATCATTTAGCGAATATTAAAAAGGATTATCAAACATTGATAAATAACTGCACTGATAGAATAACAGGCGCGGACAAAACAAGTCGACGTTAGAGATGTGAATACATTTCCAAAAATGCATTCATAAACAATACTATATTGCTTACGGTCAATGGAGGCTTTTTGCAGTCCCTTGCCTGTATACACATACCCGTACGTAGAGAACTCCAACAGCTCTACTACCGCCCACAGCAGAGTTAAGCTTACAATGTCTGGCTCTTTTTACTGGCCCGAATAGACAAGGACTACCATCTTTAACCGCCTTCCAGAATCCAGTTCGATATACAGGCATATGGGTGTATAGGTTCTGTATTTATATTTGATCATAGTTTTCTTATTTATAACCTGTCCCAGCGAACAAATATATGTATATTGAATTTTCTACTCATACTCATTATTGAATTTATACGGAAACTACGAGGTATGAAAAGTTTGGCCTCCATTGTATGGTTCGACAGCAAGATAGAAGTCACTACGAATATCGGTAAGGTGACGTAAATACGTACATTTAAGCAAAAAGTTACGTTTTTAGTCGAGTGTACAATTATACAGCAGCTACACAGATAGTGACGTCGCTTAAATCGTATAAAATTAGACTATCATAAAGAGTTTATCGGTCCGTTTTGTCTGAAAGAAATGGAAAGTGTGCGCACACAGAGATTACCATAGTTATCTCAACTGACTTGCATATAGAGGCTGCTCCTAATATTGAAAGCATTAGTTATACACTAAGGGTTCAACAAGGCTGAATCTGGAAACAATGGAATTTTAGACCGCAAACAGGCAATTAGTACTGTAGCCAAAATAAGGGTCGTTGGCGTTTCAAAAATGTATTTAAACATTCGCGCCTTATTTCCATTTTTAGAGCCCGTTTCATAATGCTTAGGTTAGCTGTGAGGACAACACGGCCTCATTTACGCGTCATATACTAATCCGTTGTTTCTGTGACAACGTGATGGTAACATGTTTGTCTACTAAGTTTTCCCTAAACTTAGTTAAAAAATGTTAGTTTTTTTCGGTAACAACACCTGTTACTATACTTCTTAGCTCGTTTCTATGGGACGCAGGCCCGAAAAGTTGCCTATTTGAACTGGTCCCTGTTTTATTTTTTATGTTAACACTATACTCCGACCGATGGATACCGCCCAAGTAAAAAGTGCAGATCCAAATTCTGAGACCTAACCTTTAGCCTGGCGTGCTTTTACGAAATTCATAATGCTACTAAAGATACACGGGGGACTGTTGCAATAGATGTTTTCGTCAATGCAGAGCAATTTGCTACAAAAGACAACAGTAAACGAATTCGAAACTATATAGTGCTTTGATAGGAGAGAACCGACCGAACAATATGAGGACACCAATTTACTTAAAACTGGGTAATATACGACTCGTATATAGGAAGATGAATAGCGTATACAAGTATTCATTTTTATAACAAGCTATGAACCTGAAAATACGTTTTAATCACGTAACTGTATTATCTAGCACAGACTGAACGGTACTGTTTTAATTGAACAAATAAATAGCAGATTACATAAAATAAGCTCAAACGCATATACATATAAAACACACATGGATTTTCTAGCAGTGCTTGCAACAAGCAGTTTTTTAGAAATGGCTTAACATACGTGACACGTTTTATGACTTTTCAGGAATAACACAGGGCTATTTATCAGCCACCTAGAGTTTCATTGGGAAAATTTGTAATAGTATAGATGTAGTCCTTTCTAATGGAAGGTAAATGGGAATGCCCGATCGAAACCCTTTGAAGATCATGAAATGTATCAATAAATTTGTCTCATTATATATATATATATATATACATGTAGAGAATGCAGGCTATTATATACATATGATAACCTGTATTCTCCAATCTGTACAAATTGTATCTTGGTCATACATCCAGTTATTAATAACACTCAGACTTTCGACGCAGTTAAATGGCAGGCTTGCTAAATTGCCAATCATTTCAATTAACAGAGACAAGATCGGTCCTATTGAAATCATCTTTTTGTTTTGCTGAAAAGTACCTATAAAACATGCACGAACAGTCGGGAGGAGGTAAATTCATTTAAACCTTAGTTTAAATGTCCCAGATCCTAAGAGTGCAAATGAATCTCCTCTTTTAACCCCTCTGTTAACCTATGTGACAGCTCGCTTACCTGGGTCTCTAGACTACCGCTGGTGGTTGTCCTAAAAGACAATGATGCCAATTCTGAAGAATTCGATTCACCACTCATAGCGCGACAATATATCTCCGAGATAGTTATCTGACAAATTTGAGTAATGCTTGAAAACAGAGGGCCACAAGGCACTAACTATTCGTAGTACATAACGAAAAGCATAGAAAGCTAGCTTCAACTAAAAAAATGTTTATTTTTGCCTTACAGCGTTCGCACGAAACTTAAGAGTGGTGTAAATAATAAAAAAAAAAAACGTGTGTAGATTAAAACTTAATTGTCGAGCTCGATTTACCCATCACGTATACTTAGTTAAGTCAACTATAGTAGTAAGCCAGTATATTTAATTCTGCACGTGTAGGATAATATTATTGTTCACTTAGAATTACTACATTTACATTAGCGACACGATACATTTTACGTCAATCCAGGCACTTAATATATAAAAAGGGATAACCAAAGGTGTACCTATCTTATTCCCTGTGTGTCTTGTTCGGAACATCTGGCTCCAGTAGCTACGACAGTAAGAAGCGTCATCGAATCTCAAAACTCCAAAAAAAAAAAACTCAGTTGAAAACTGGGCTTATTTTCTCGTTTCTGGGCTTGTTGAAGACGTTTGGAGAAACGAGCCTAGCCATAACTAACCAGTTGCAGAAAATGTCCGGCTGGATCGGGAGCGGACGGTTAGCGCTCGTCAGACAGGGATTCAGGCAACGTGCTACTTTGTCAAAACTGTCATGGACGCAATAGTGAAACAGAACAAAGTAATTGAATCCAAGGACCTTGTGGTGTAGTTGTTTGGCTGCATAAATCAGTTGTAATTATTTATGACAGAATACGGGAGCGGCTGATACAATCCATGGTATTTTCGAAATTGGTAACTGAAGTCGTTAGTCAGGAGCAAAGGTTCGAAAATAGTTTTAGCAGGTGTTTGATTGCCAGAACTTCGAAAGGCAGCGGAACAATTCGGAGTAATACAAGCTTACCCAGTAGGGGAGTAAGTAATAAGCATGAGATACCGGATTAAGATTTATTTTGTTTAATAATTTATTAAGTTGAATACCTTTCTTTGGTCAGATATGAAGTAGTTTACTTTAAAGATATTCTACTACACAATAACGCTCGATGAAAATTTCCGTGTGCAAAGTGTAACAACAGCAATACTATTTTCTATAAATTGAAGGCTTTTCTTAGAACCAACGGCCAGAGCAAGAAAGGTCCAGAAAGTCTTACAACCTATGTATATACCCGGTAAACTTTAAATTAAATATGAACCAGAATACTGATTTTACTATAAGTTACATACATGCGCCTACGTTATGACAACTTCTGAACAGACACATAATTAACATTCGCATTTCTATATGTAAGTTCCCTATCATAGATTCTCTAAGTAGATCAATAGTGACATATGCTTGCCCCCCACTTATTCTTGTTAAGGCACGAAGAGTCTCGTTGGGATTATAAGCGAGCAGATAAGCCAATACTTGATACTCCACACTGCTACCAGACTCAGTTTCTCTTTAGGGCGATGCCATTCTCTCGCCTGACCCCTTATTGAATCTTGCCTTGTTTATGGCGACAGTATACTCCAAGCGGTGCTTTTGTTAATTAAGGTTTCGAAAATTGCACGTGGAATAGACTACATGGACTCTTGATTGGCCTATAGTCAGTTCACGTGAAACCCATTTTCTTACTGAGTTCTTGCATTTCCAGTGTTTGAGTAATATTTCTGTAGCAAGCCAAAAGTAAATGCTAGTTTTGACCAACAAAGCCCTTATACTCTAAGGTGTGTTTTCGCGAAAAGCCTCCTTGACTGTAAAAATACGTTTTTGTCCTTTGGGTTTCGCCATCTGGTTTTCTCGTCGCTAGCTTTCAACATTCCGATCTCCTTTCTTAAGACGTTTGCACTATTCGTACACTGTGCTCTCGTTTAAAGCCTATTTGATGAGTGGCTTCACTGACATTCGATGAGTTTCCACAGCATTGTGGCCTTCGAGTGACAAACGATTGACCACTGAGCGTTGATCTTCGAGAATAAAAAATGTTTTTTTTTTTTCTGAACTTGTTTCTCCTTGAGTAGACTCAACCGCTTTTCACTAGAGTTTCTAGAAGACTGAAGTGTTTATCAACTATGTTCCTTCTGCTAGATATGCGTAGTCCAAAAGTTAGTTTCAAAGTCTACCAGACTTTGTTGTAGCAGACTAACGTATAACTATACCGGCCAAGAAAACTCATAGTAACACTTTGGTGGCTACAGAAACCCATGTGCCATCACAATGTGTGAAAGCGACCGAGTCACTTGAAACGAGCCAATTGACCGTTCAGCCGATCTTTGTCACTTTCAGGACGGTCTCTATTTACATATGCAAGTATACAATCATAAAATCAGACCATCTTTTTCGATTAACACCGTACATGTAATGGCTGCGGATTTATCTATCCTCGTTTACCTACCTTGGTATTTCATTTTATTCATAACGCGATCTCATCCATTCGTCCTTTTATCTAGCGTCTCTTCTGTCTCCTGGGTTACGATGGCAAAATCATTTTTATTGGTGTCTTCAGGCAGCCCCAGCTCAAGAACTCTACTAAATGCAAGGCTCCAGATATTAGACTTGGGATCGATCCCTGTAGTACTTCTGCTATTACCAGATACTATATATGTCTGTTTGCAACAATGTTTCTCCCTTAAAAATCCGTAAACACCAGTTTTTGACGGCAGGAAAAATAGATACATACTCGATCCATTGCTTCCAGTATTCATTCTGACTTCTTTGCGGTTCAGTGAACTGAAAACGCTTCTGACATTGAAGTCCAAAGGAGAGCTAATCAAGGCCGCCTTTGTCAAACAGGATCACATCATCTGCATAAAGGGCCACATATATGAACGGATAGGTCGTCCCTTTTTCAAGCAACTCAATGGTAGTTCAACTTTTTCTCCAATTGAAACTCATTTTTTTATCGCGCTTGGAAAAACAAATAATAGCATAAGTTTAAGAGATTTCGAAATCTTAATGGGTGCACTTGCCTTATTATTAGAACAAGTATTTTAGATCAGTGGTCACTGCAGGTTCCTTGTTTGAAACCTATGCCGCTCGCCCAGAACTACCTCACATGCTTCTAGAAAGGGAACTTCCGCCTCACGGTCGCAGCTTGTGAAGGGAACTCTCAACCGCTTTTTTATACCGATAGGAATTTCTTGCATTCGGAAGAATGATCATCACGCTTTTGTTCAAAAACCAAGGGATCATGCCTTATTAAATGCATACGTTGAATAGCGAAATAGTAAGGTGTGTATGAGATGTTCGGTAAAAAGTCTGTCGCGTCTATACATTTTCCTTGCTGATAGCCGTAAGAAAGCATCGCAGACTTTCGCTGGTATGAACCATTTATTTGGATTCTATAATGAAGTGAGGAATCTGAGCCGGGATTGTTTCTCGACGCTGAAGTTCTTTGTAAATTAGCTCTTATAATTTCTGGAAGTACCATGCAACTGACTTTAACAAATCGTGAATTCCTTAGTCATACATGGGCTCGTGTTATGTCTTTGATTAGCTGTCTTTTGGCTGTAGCCATTGTTTTTTAACCTCTTTCAGCGTTCTTTTGTAGAAAAATTTTATTAAGTGTATTAAACGTAGACACAACGCTTTGAATGAACATACTGTAATTATCGTAAATGCGTATGTTTAACAGAGGGCAATACAGAAGCTAAGCTAGCTCTTTTGATGCGCAAAATTTTCAGGATGGGTTTGACGTGCCCTAGCACGATAAGCATTTAGGGATCATTAGTGTAGTTAATGAAAAATAAACAAAAATCATAATTTCAAAAAGCCATTCATTACATGGATGCAGAATATTTCAATTTTTGTAGATCCTTTTCTACATCTAACCTACGCAATCCACAATGGGAACAATCCTTTAGTAAACACATATTTGGGTAATTTTATGTGGTTCTTTCTAAATCCAATCAACTGAGCCTAGAAAAAAGAAGTCTACCTATGGTAGCACAATTTCTATACGCTATTAGTTTGTCTGTTGGACCTTGTTGGGAACAGCCTTGTTATCAAATATTCTGCTACGTAGACGCAATACGGTGTTATACAGATGCTTGTATTTTTTTCAAGTTAATTTTTTTCTGTTAATTTGTACTAAGTCCATAAGACGATGGGAAGCACGCATATCAAGTCCTGTAAATCTCTACAATCTTCATGTAATAAACATTACCGCATACACAATAAAACCCGTAGTAATCTAATGCAATTATCGATAAATATTTTTTCTTAGGTACTCAGGGGTATAACTTTGAATGCTTGTTATCAGTCGTTTACTAATAATAAGCTTCTCATTCGAATGAGTTCGAAAATTATTACTAACAGAGAGCGCAGCTAACAACTTCCGTACTAATGTCCAGAGAAAGTCACGAGTCGAAAGTTGTGAGATACTTTAAAGCGAAGCTTGTGCAAGAAGAGAAACCTTTAAATCATCGTATTCTCTCTCGTAGTGTATATATGTTTCTAGTACAGCAATAAAACATTACATTTGTACCGACCAACGGTAGGGGGCGCTGCTCAAAGTGTCGCCAATGATACATATGTGAATTATTACATTTCTGCCTAATATGAACCTAATTGTACACTTTAACACAGATAATCTAAATATCAGCATGTCAGCGAACAACCTGAGCAGCAAATACAAAAGTACTTTCTAAGAAAATGGTTTTTCTGACCATGAGGCACTTGTCATTTTAGCTGTCGACATTGACCTGTTATACATTTATTGTATGTTTGGCACAATTTACGATCAAGAACATATGTACATATTATGATAATATAATATTAGTTAGTAATATTATTTCCTTTGTAATAATAGTGTATAGTAGTACTTGTAATTATGACTAAACACAGTAAGCAAATGGAGTTTTAGAAGCTTCTCAGTTCAAAGTGCATAGTACTTTCGTTACTATATCACTATAGGTAGAAATGGACACTAATAAGAGAAATTTACCACCATAGATAACCAAATTATATGCCGTTATTTAAGAAATCTAAAGAATTGACTTATTCTTAAAAAAAGAAACTCCACAAGCGTGGAAGGCGTGTCCTTGCGTGAATTGGTTTTAGACACCTTACGATTAACATGAACTTTCTAATTCACATTAGTTGTAATAATATCAAGAGACAGTTAAACTGGGCCAAAGGTTCTTGGTCTGATAAAGCAGTAGCGCTCTAATAATTGGCTTTATAGATGGTCACGTGTGGTGGGTTTCATAATACATAATACAATAAAAATTCAGAATTCCCTCAACAATCTAAGCATAAGTAATAAAATGTCTGCGTATGTACAAAGTCTTTGTACATCTGACTTTTCGTGTATTAAATCGGCTTTGATTTAACCCTAGCCTCATTTGTAAACGCTATATTTGCATATTTTCCACATTATAGAAAATGAATAGAAATTTTTACCGATATGTACTACACAACACGAAAAAGTGTGTACCACAAGTAGACTGATTCATCTCATTTTTTTAACAAAAAATCCTCCATTGGGCATGTAATCTCCGAATGATTTGGTCCCTTATCGATGTTCGCGATATTAAAGTTCGTCTCGTCTCCCAACCGATTCATTTGTTCGTGAGCCTTCGATTCCTAGTCCCCAGAACAAAGTAGGTAGGCTTTCGATGTCGCGATGTCTTTTTACGAAAGCCGAAAATGATGAGAAACAGTTTCCAATAAAAATGTTTGCACGCGAAAGGATGGCTAGGTCTACCAAAGGTCGATTCCGTGGTAGACGAGCAACCATGATGTTATCTTTTTGCAAAACAAATTTGAGTTCAGGTAACAAATGATCGTGGTCTGATGCTACAAACACCCACCGAGCTCCTAATTTACGAACGGCTTCCTCCACCTGTATCACAAGGTAAAATTAAAGATGTGCATATTTCATTCATATTTTATCCATACTAACGGCACATCAATTCATCTTGAGATTACGGCTAACTATATATCTAAAAGGATCTTTGACGATACACATCTTACTTTCGTGTCTTATTTTCCGCGTAGAATGAGTCATGCTTTTCCTAATCCTAATGATAACCCAACTAATTATCAAAAAGTTTCTTCCGTTCGTAAATAATAATATGTATGCTCAAAAATTAATAGAACACCATTCAAGTCAATAAAAAAATATGGCTTTATATTAGCCTACTGTTTTTGTTATAACTGCTGCTTTTTGCAAAAAAACGGACATGTTGTGTGAACACATTTACTCTTAAGAGATATGTATATTCAAATAGGACACCTAAACTGAGATCTTTTCTCATGCTTTGCTTCTAACAGACAAGAAATATGTCAACTAAGTTTTTTTTTTATATGTGCAAGAGGTGGCATTCCAGACGGTCTTCAATCCGATTATAGTTTTCTGAACTACTCACTAATCATTTCCTTTGTTAATCCGGATAACTTTTGGTAGTAACCCTGTGTCAAGCGACACTGATCGGTTTTAACTCGTCGGCGAGATACGCTACATATAAAAAATTCCAGCGGAATTTAACATTGGGCTGATAGTAAGCCGATCCCCAAATATGCAAAGGCTTACAACAGTTGAAAGGTGCGAAAAGCCGCAAAAAATTTCAAAAAGAAAAATGGCTGTAGATCATCTAGAGTAGCTCATTAATAGCTAATATTTTCCTCTCTAAAACAGCCTATAATTTCCTTATCAAAACTAGTTTTTAAGCCCTTGAAATTTAAAATCTATGTAGGGTTTTCTGGTTTGCTTCGCGGAAATTTTCCTCGGGTTTTTAGGAAGCCGCATAAAAGGTGACAATAATATAGACCGTCGATTTCGGGTAGGAAATTAAGTTTCTAATCATGGTAAGAGGTTCGTCCCGTGCGAAAAGATTGGGTAATAGCTCATTTACACTTAAATTGCAAAACGGCGTATTGTTCTTTGCGGTAGCGAGTTCTCCATTTTGTTCTATAAAGAAGAGGCTTTATTTTAGTATTACGCCAAGAACGGCGGATGGACGTATACCTGTTACGACAAATAGCCTTTCAAAGTTTTTTCAATTCAAGTGCCGTTCTCTGCATATATATGGAGTCAACATAGGTACCTTACGGAGGAAATCTAGGATATCATAGAACTTGAATGTCTTTAAAGGATGATTGTTTTCATATGAAAATTTATAACCGCATCGACATAACATCTGTGAAGTTTGCAAAATAGATTATTATATGTTCTTTTGATAATATAATCGCCATCATCACTATCATGTTGAACTACATTCAGTGTTTTACCTGAAAGACTACGTCCTGCTTGCTTGGTAAACACATTTTTCTTCTGTCGTCCAGTGGTGGATTAAAGATTTCCCCTCTGTAACCAAAACACTGGGGACCAGCAAACAGTAGTGGCGCGTCCTTAATCAGGTCACATGCGTTACGCCAGTCTGCTCCATTGCGCAAATGAATTCCCACAAACGGACCTTTAAGCCATTTAATACAGTCTAGCCTAAGTTAAACTATATTGTTATTAAATTATAATGGATAGCTCTAAACTACAGAAATACGCATAGTCAACTCGAAACACTTCGTTAGATTCTTATACCAGTGGTATCCTTCAATAACGATCTTGACCTGTTATTTCACTTGACTATTTAGATAAACAGAACATATTTAATCGGTACCACCTGCGGAACAATAACTAAAAATAAAACCCACTGAGCAGTTAAATAGCCTCAAAGAATTCTCAGTGCTACATATAGATATTACTAAAGGTTTAATTCATATTGAGCTATTATAAGCGCCAATATCGGTTTAATATTGCACTCTCAGAGTATTTCAGCGAATGAGAATATCGTAACACAATCAACAGGTAAATCAATCAACCAGCAAATGAGTAGACTAGATGTCACAAAGGTTGTATTAACCGATACCCGTTGTAAACTAAAATGTTTGGAAGAAGAAGCAAAGGAGCAAAATATAAATTATTTGTTATCAACATATTTTAAGGATACCACCTTTCTCTTAACAAACAAGTTAAGCCATAAGGACTTGATTATAAAAAAAAACATAGCTGCTAACTCCTTAAGGTGCCGTTAACTGTTAGTGATGTAAAATGTCAATGATTCGCCAATAATTTCCTTTGCACAAGAAAATCCTAAAAACTCCTAAAAGATACACATGAATTTCTGTTCCAACTTCTCGTCTTGCGCCTTCAAGTATATAGAGATGTTAATGTCTCTCTTTCAGCGAATTATTGCGAGTATTTAGGCTAATAGTTACCACAAAGGCGTATTACGGGTAAAAAAACTCAATTGAGCACCTGCGTAATTTTCACGAATGTAGTAAATGAAATTGTTCGCTTCTTCCACAATATTGTCTGCAAATTCGAGGTAGCCCTGTAAATGACGGTTGTGCTTCTGTACGGGAAATGCTGCAGGTGCCCCAGTAAATGCAAGGACTCGATACTGAGTAGGGGGATATCTGAAACAGTAGAAAAAAATAAAAGTAAAGAATCCAAACCACTATATGGAAAGAACTAAGACACCTTTATGACAATTATAATAAGCTTACTTTTAGGCATTGCTTGTTAAACTAGTGAGCCTTACCTTATGGATTTGAGGCTAAATCTAATTGCTTTATTTTACTGAGTACACAGCGAAGTTTTATACTGATGCCGTCAAAAGAGGTATCAATCAGAATGATGCGCTTGTCCTTGTTCTTTGTTATACCAAAAAATCTGTTTAAGCCAGATAGTTTTTTGCTTGCTTTTTAAGCTTTTCATAACGTTTGTAATGTAAACTTTTTGCTCTTTTTTCTTACTTTAGAATCGGCATACACTTGCTCTTGCTAAAAAGAAGATACGTTTATAGATAATTGTTGAGTGCAAATATAAAGGACATAATTATTAATATGGTGTTATGTGGTATTCTACCTCTCTTGCCACTGGGCGATAACATCGTGGTTAGAGATATCGTAATGCAGTGGTCCATATGTTTCTGAGGCTACAAAGTCAACCCCAAGTGAATCCCAAAAGGGGCCAAATGGGTTTCCCTGTTTAGCAGCACAGTCGCCGTTGTTGTTTCGTGAACGGTAACAAAAAGAAATACGATTAGCTGGAGGCCACAAGTCAGCTGCTAGAAATTCCATGAAAGTTTCGATAGGCAAGACTCGATGGAATGCCTCCAAAGCTTCAACCTGCGCAGAGAGAAATAAATAATTGGTAACTGTGAAAATATCTACAATCCTATATTGCAGTTAGATATTTTGGAAATATGCGATCACCACACGTGTCTCATTCGTCTTAAATTGTGAGTTTTTAATATTATAACAAATAAAATATTATAAGTGCATATAAAATGAAGTACAATCATACCTAACTGAGCTACATTGGTACCTTGAAATAAGTTTTGAATGGAACTTGGATGGAACGTAGCTCTCCGGTGCGGTATTCAACCCATGGCGGCAATAGAAGAGTTCGATTAAGAGCCTTCGCGAATGATAAAGAGCCAAGAAACTGATCTGCCTGGTTTCCAAAGCGACCCATACATGGGCAGAATGCTACATAGCCAGAAGGATCGGGTGTAGGCTGTGTCGTGCTTGACGTAAGAACGGTTGGTAATTGTGACAAAGCTAAAAGAAACCAGGTGACCCAAATGGCACTGCAGTTCTGCATAGCTGGATTAATCATCTGTAATAGTAAATATTCGAATTATTCGAACGAGAATAAAAGTCGCTGAAACTTAGGGGGCTCAAATTCACGAAATAGTATTAGAGGTCTGGTGTACTACGAATATGTATATAGAGAAAGTGTACTAAATAATATAATATGTGTATAGAATGTCTATTCTTACATACGAAATAACTGATGTCTAGTAAAGATGAAGAGAGCGTTATTCTATTTCTAAGAATCTAGAAAGACTTTTCCTGCATCAAGCAAACACAAAGTTGCTTTAAGGCTGTTTGAGGTGCCGAGTATTCTCGCGTGGCAGGTAGTTCAATAAGTTCATAGTTTCAACTGTCCTAAATAGGTAATAGCACGAAAAAGAAAAGCATGTAAAATGCCTGTTTACGCTAACTCACGGAGAATATTTACACCAAAAAGTCCTATTGCCAGAAATCGAAAAGAGGACTTCAACTATAATAACGGTAGTCAATATTTTCTGTCGCACCACAGCCAGTGATGCGTTCCCCATGATTGCACTAGATATTCAATTAAAAACCTTTTTTTGTTCCAACATCATGATGATGCAACAACACTGGGTGCGCCGCCACTTAAAGGTTTAAGATAAAAGCACAACAAGTGTACCTAGTGCATATGAGAATAGGAAACGTTTATATTGCGTTATAGGGTTTTTTCATGTCAAAAGCCAAGCGAAAATGTACTTCGGATCTAACAAGTCTACTGCCCGGGGCCGGCGCGTAATCATCGTCAACAATAAACAAAATGCAGAGGTCTTCATTAATGCGTTGAAGCAGACGATAATCATAAAATCTGCTAGGAAAATAAACGCGGGTTTATTGTAGCAGACGAGAGGCGCCTAAAGCGTCTATATAACTTAAATTTATCATCATTTGATAAAACACACCATCGCCAAACGTTCCCAATAGTAATATCGTACAAGTATATTAGAGTTTGTTGGGCTTCAACTTCCTGGAGATTTCGATTTATTATCCATATTCATTAATGCGACCCTCGTTCCGCTAATCAGCTGGGCCTGAAAAAGGCCATTCTTCATGTTGAAACCAAAACAGCGTTGGATTTGCCGGACTTTGCTTACGTCTTGTTGGCGCCTTATCGAATTGGTTACATTTCTTTAAGTGTTTGTGCGAATTGAATGATGCGACATAGGTCTAAATGATTGATGTGGTGGGGCTAGCTAACCTACACGGTTAATTGTGCCAGACTAATGATGATCTAATATCTTGAAACCGGTGCTTAAATAAATCTATGGCCAGAAATGATCAACGAATCATACAGGTAACTGAATATTCTTTATGCTTATTGCTATTGGGTAGATGTTCGCAACCTTTATATATATATATATACATGTTGACTATTGTTGCATAATCAATTAGCGGCTCAATGTAATCAAATTAACTACAAGTTATAGTGTAATAAGAGTATATAATAAATGACTTAAATAATAAAGGTAAGAACAATTCATCGGTAAAGTCGATTGGTTTACTACAAATTACGTGCTTAGTCGTTATAGCGCTTCTTTTTATTATAGTTTTAAAGTGTCAGAGTTATAGCAAGAGGGCTTCAGCTATGATTATTAACGGATAGAATTCATATTCACTGCATGCAAGTTATGTTTCTGTGCTGTTTTACAGTCTACAATTATTAGAGGAGTACTGCTATTTGCCACGGTGTATTTTTTTAAGAAATTAGTGAAGTGGTTAGGTAGTCTGTTATATGATTGATTAATTTTTCACTTCATTGTTTTTACACTTTTGCATCTGCGTATTTTGTTCTGTTTACTCACATTATACGATTTCTCTAGTAACTTGGCCAACTCTTAACTTTACAGTTTGTGTCTTTTGTGTGTAGGTGATAAATTTTAGTTTCCTTACGACAAGTAATCTGATGACTATATAGCTCCATGGTTTTGTAATCGACAAGATACTTCGGAGGTCACTTTAGACTTCCGCAAAGTAAGATATTTATAATGCGAGAATGTCCATGGGAGAGCGTTCACCCTTACTCACGTCTTATACCTTTTCTACACTTTTCTAGTCGCTACCACCATTAAGACCTACGTTTCATAGACACAACTTACGGGAGATTGCCACTCTTTTCCTAGACTGTTTCATTTAAAGGGCTCCCTAATCGACCTGCTTTAACAACAATTTGTAAGTTTTCGTTTCCACTAAAAGAACCATTCTGGAGATATCATATGGATGGTTTCATAGAGGCATTTTTATATATTCCACTACAAACGAGGATACGTAGGGATGTTTTGTGATTATAGTTTAGAAAACGCCTATTTTTATCAACAATTTACATCACCCACATAAAACATAGGAATATACGTAAATTAAAGTTAGAATAATCTTTAATTTATCTCTTCTACCACTGAGTCAACGCGTTGAAAATAGACACAGAAACCGAAATATGAAGCACATTTTAGAGCTACCGAAAACTAATATCACTACAAAAAATGTATCAAAGATTTATCAAAGAGTGGGTAAAGCTGCTTACTTGTTCAGGTGCATTATTAATTCTGTATGTCTTTTTAGGTGCGGTTCTAACAACGAATTACAAGATTCCTCGCTTGTGGAAGCTTCCTTTTCTTTTCCATCCGCAGGTAATTATCATTGTTTACTTGAGTTCACAACTTTTACACACAATATTTCACACCTGGAATTATTTAGCACCTATAAAAAATATAGCTATATCAAAGAACATTTAAGGCAAACATAAGCACGGACAGACTGCATACCTTCATAAGAGCTATTTCATTATTTAGTTAAAGAGAAATTATTTGCTCATAGTTCATTTTAAGTTTCAGAAGTATTATTTATAGTTTGTTGTTTGGAAATAGCTTTTACCTGTGGAAATCAGTGTATTTTTGTTTCGAGGACAACATATGATTTTCTTATTTATACCTTCTTTGATGCTGCATCTGTTAGACAGATTAGACTTTGACTAAAAAGAAAGTCTTACTGCTGTAATTCCTTTAATACTTCGATGGATTCTTACATTAAAGATACAATAATTTCAAGTTCTGTGTCAATTCTTTTTTGCGTTTTTATTTTTCAAGCGCGTTGTGCGGATTGCGGTGAACTTCGTGCTCTTCGTCTGCCTGCCTTAAAGCCAGTTTGCTTGCGCTCTGTCGATCAATTTTCACACGCGGGATCCAATCAAACATACAATAAGGGCCAGCCGTTAACCTTTTCCAGTCAGAACAACGCAAGCTTTTCCCCGTCCACTCCACTTTATAGAAGGTCCCAGCGGTTGAAGGATAGGTCGCTATCAACCATGGAAGTTGCCCGGGCAGTTGAAGAGGATCTACCTTCATATTACGAACATTTATCAATCAGTCTGTTGGTGCCTGAATCGCCCGAAGAAGCTCCTAGTCCTAACTGTCGTCGAAAACCTTTGAGCCCAGCATTGCCCCTACCGGATCACATGGCACCTATTGGAGAATTTCTCGACAGTTTGTACCTATTTTCAGATAGAATATTAAGCGGACATAGTCTTTTGACAGAGATATAGTTTCTAAACTTCTTGTTATCGGAAGGACACATGTGTGTCTGAAAAACGAGGAATGCTTTTATACGATTAAAGATTTCGACTATATTGTATCTACATGAACGCCTCAATGGTCAGCGATTTCTTAAAATCTGGAGTTCAAAAACCACTACTATAGCGTCATGCGAAGTAATTGACCAAAACAAAAACAAAACGTGTTTGACTCAAAATGAGATATTTAATGTAACTCGTGGTAATAGACAATGTATGGGCTGCTATCAGCTTGTGTACCGTAAAGTACGGTATTTCTATGAGGTCATATTATTTTGAGTTACACTGAGCAACTTGTTTCGGACAACTGGATATTGAATCAGATAGATTATTTCAAACGTCCCTTGCATTATTTCTCGACAAGGAGCTTTCCCCGTAATCACCCTGTTTAAGGCGTACGTAGGTTCATCCTTAGCTATATTATCAGTGACTGTGTTTTTTGGAAAATAACTTTTTACATACCATTATTAAGTTTTTTTTTCTCATAATAAAGTGCCGGAAAAGGTTAATATATCTACATATATATATATACACATATAATATTTTATATATAAAATATTAGATGTGTGGAAATATTTTAAAAAACTCAATCCAGAGACGAAGAGAGGGATATTAAAGGTCTGGTAAAGCCCTTATAAGAACGTCCTGCTAACCACAATCATATTCTGTAATGTAGACTATGATTTTTATTCTATTTTGGCCTGCGGCTTTGTACTATCATATGAGTCAGTCATGAAAAATGTTTTCACTTATACATAGATATTCTAAAATCAGGTGTTACCGCATATGTGGAGGTTCGCACTAACCTCGGAGACCATTCAGGGTCTCTGGCAGCTCTCCTTTATCGCATGGGTGCTTCTATCGCTGCAAGTCTAAACCCATCGGTACGTATATTTTAACAGTAGCTATAACAATAGGCTGAGAAAACCAGATATTAATAACATAATGTCATATATTACAATTGCTTGTATTGCGAATATATCATTAAACTGAGACTAAAGTAAATAACTACTTTGCAGGTAACCCATGCCGTTTTATCAAACGCGCGACCCGCAACGATGAAACGAGCTGCCTCACTTGGCATTCGGATGGTTGCTGCTCGCTGGGCGATGTCATGTATGGATGAGCTACGGAAAGTCGAAGAAGATCAGTGGCCAGTAGTCACTCAGGCTACGCAGGATGAACAGCGACGTTAGGACTTTTTCGTATTGCCTTTGATATGTTTCGTGTTTTTATGTAACGCTATGTATAGTGCGCTAACTGAAGTGCGTGCGAAACATCATAGTACTTTTGACAAGTCGTTAGATTACATAATCTATATGTAGAAATATCGCTCGTTTTTCCTCCTCCTGAAAGCGATATTGTTTGATGCAGAACCCTAGGTACAAAAATATGCTGAAGGCTTTGCGGTGTGTGAAAGGCGGCTTGAAGTATGAAAGTTGCCCCTCTAAAGCTCTACAACGAAATGTGTTCTTCATTTGTAGTGAATCTGATTATAGTAATCTAGTAACTGTTTATCGTAAAAGTTTTTCGATGGCTATATTCCAAAGCTCTTCCCTTGCTCATTTTCTCTTCATTGACCGTGAGAAACAACAAAGCATGGCGAACCGTTTATCACTTTCATTTATTGTAAGTATTTTTATGAAATCTCCTCGAAAATTTTAGACATATTTCGGAAAGTGTAGGAATTTTGTTGAGTCTTTATTCTCATACGTCCATACTACTGTAAATCATATACATATAGTACTTTGGAATGTAGGCATACGTTATATGTTAAGGTAAGAGTAGTGTGATGTTATCCGACGACGTTTACATCAGCAGACCCCCAGATTATTGATCAATACCCCACAGCACAGGCGTCCAAAGTATCGGCAAGCCACTCCAGCGTTGTTATTTGAATAGCTAGATGCGCTAGAACCGCATGCGCACACGTGCACTATGTCCTAAAGCGACGTAAACGGCACATCCCGAGGCAACTGTTTTATATTTTCGAAATTTACCACAAATTGAGCAATAGCTTGCCTACAATGATCAATCATTTTTGTCAAGTGTGGGAGAGGTCTTGAATGCAAAACTTCTATGGTAGATAGATTTTCGATCAAACATCAACATTAAAGAGCAAAGAAGAATCGAAGAGAGTTCGAAGCTTTGTGTTCATGGGAAGCGTGCAAGAACTTAAGAAGTGATTATCGTCTTATTTTATTATTTGATATAGGTATTCGCCAATATCGTTATCAAACCAATTCGCTTAGGGATCAACCATCACCAGTGTCAATTAGCAATTTAGCTCGGCTATCTAAACAGCGGCGCCGCACCATTGGAGGAACACCCAGTAATAATTCAACTACCAGCAGAGGTTTATTAAAATCGACTCTACCGCGAAAAAGTCTCAGGCGGGTGAGTATAATAGGACCTCATGCTTTTTACTGGTTTATTGAAATGTTGGATTAAAGAAATGTATTCACTTATCAATTTATAAATTATCTATTTGAATTTCTATGCATAAAGGAAAGCCTCTATAAATTAATAAGGCTCTTGATCTGATATTGGTTTATTATATGATGAAATTGTTTTCCGTAAGGAGTAACTGTTTGAGAAATTTTTTGTACATGAATAAATATTTGAAATTCAAGGTAGTGACAGCCCGCAATTTTGTCCCCGTCACTACAGCCTAGGTATCCCAATTTACAGATTGCACGGCCTTTGTCTTAACCAGGGTTCTGTCTTTACTGCCAGATGCTGTTCGAAAATGTCAACGCTGATCACAATAATGTCGATTCAGATATCAGCGACGGAAGTTATGAAGAGTCAGAACGAGGGAGTGAGGTACCTGCAATAAGCTGAGCTTTAATATATTAAGGTGTCTTAAAACAGCCTGTCTGAACAACGACAAAAATTATTTTTAACTCAGGAGACATCCGAACGCACTTTGCTTTTCTCTTATACCCCAATCTTGCCAATGTTACGTATAGTATTTTCATGATCTAATACACAGTGATCACATAGTTTTGTCTTTAAATCCAATTTTAACGTCTTTAGGTCACAGTGGAGATTCCCGAGACTCAAACAGGGCTGTTATCGCAGGTACACGGTGTTAACGTGTGGGTGCCTGAAACGGAATCTTTACTGTGTTCCGCTAATAGATGTGAACATCATTTTAAAGACTCTGAAGACATTGAAATACTAGAAACCCAGCTGGAATCTTCCAACAGTAAACAAAAGGTAAAACAAAAATGAATAATGATTTTTACAATTTGACAAATAAACTTGCGAGCGTCGCCCTGTACTTTTTTGCTTTTGCTTTAGCACGCAACTTAAAGTATAGGATACATTCTCCATTGCAATTATAACCTGCTGAGATTTTGTAGTTATTTCATCAACCTGTTTTAATATAAACGTTTACGTTGTATCTAGCTTAGCTTTAGACTTTAATTGGATTCCACGTTTCCAGTTATCAGGTTGAATTTTTTTTGAGATTTTGCAGGATCAATTGCGTTATCCCGTAGCAATTGTCGCGTTACAGTAGAATTTACGTCATTCAGTTAATGTATTACGTCGCCTCAATGCTCTCACCAAACTGACACAGTCTCCCTACTATTCTCTTCAATTGGCAACTACATCACTGTTATCCTTTGGTAGTAACCCCGTTGAAATATACCATGAGTTGCACCATCAGGCCCCGTTACCCTATTACAATTGCCATCAATTTGTCTTAATATTCATTCATGCTATAGCCAAACTAACATAAACTATTGCGTGATTGTATACCGTCTAATTGCATTTCTCTCGAGCCCCGGTCATATCAACTGTTACAACATTAGAACTGTTAAGTTACGATAATTATATTTATTCGATCCCTTGACGCTTGGTGCAGTTCTTCTCTTGTGGCATACTGTATGTATCCTACTACTTAAAACAGTGGAGCTCGACATCAGAAGGGTTAATATAAACTCATAGTACGTAAAGTAAACCTCTAGTTGTGCACGCGGCGTTAACTGAGATCTTACCCAACGCAGACCGCGTTACTGCACTAGAGTTATTGCCATTCTACCATTGGACCCTGCTCCACGCATCCCGTTATGTCATCAGCGATGACTCTTGCGGTCATTTCATAAACCTTTTGCTCAATTATAAGCCGACACCTTTACAGCGATCCAATTTTAGTTCTTTTAAGACTCTGTTGCATACATCCAGTAATCATTTTGTACTATTTCTACATATACATATTTCAGCAGTAATTGGTTACCCTGCTGGAATAAATGCTTCAGTAATGTCGTGACTATGGTGTAATTAATGCATCGCATGTATCCTGCTATACAGAACGTCAAAATTTTCAATAGAAACTCGAAAAAATTGTTGTCCAACTGTACATGTGAGGTTAACCTTAGACCATGGATGTGAGTGTTAGGTCCTACCCCCCCCCCCCCCCCATATCCCGTACCTACGGATATTCCCGTTCTTCTAATATAATTAAATTTACCGCCAAGAAAATCCAGTCTACGAATATGAGCCATATATGTATATATATATCGAGATTGTTTATATTTCGTCACCTACCTTGGAGCTTAATTAAACTTGCAGCATGCCTTTTTGACACAATTCCCACAGAAAAAATATTCCGAGAGCCAGGCAGTACGAAAAGTTGTAAACACACAATTTTACCGTTAAATTGTGTGTTTACGACTGTTAAAAAAAATTAAATAGAAAAAAATTATCTCAAAATTGTACTCGTTTCATAGAGTGTAAAAATAAACGACATTTTATAATCAAACTCGTTCTTTTTTTCAGATTATTGTAATTATATACATATATATATGTTTTTTTTGTCAAATTAAAATTATACAAATTCTCAAAAAGTTGTCAAGCACATCGTTAAAAAAAAAAGTCAACCTGGTTAGGATTACACTTTATGGGGGAAAGACACATCCCGCGAAAATAATAAAGCGCGATCTTTTTCGCACTCGCAAAGAACGAAATAATGTAGATGCTATTGAGAGCTTACGTTTCTATAAAAGGAATTGCGGCTATAATTTATACTAATAGTACGTTTGTTTTCAATAATAACAGGCAATGGTAACGTTTGACGTTCCTGGTGAGCCTTTAACATCTTGCGATTCTACAGTCACTGTAACATCGAATCGAAGGGCGAGTGCTGCTCAAGGTATGAGGTTAATTAGTATTACGAGCCTGGTTTACATCTTGTAATGTATGGAATTGTCGACCGGCTGTTTCGCTCGGCGCCAGATTCCTACCGGTAACATCGCCAATTTGGGAGGTCCAAAAATGTTGATTTACCGTACAGTCTTAGTGAAACTTCCATATTGAACTATTTCAGTATAGATTTTTTGTCTACTGAGCTCCTAATGGTTCGTCTCGCAGTTACTATGCTAGCGTGACCGTCAAAATGATGCCAAGACATTTCGCCTTGTTGTGTTTGAGTGTATTATTAAAACTATTTTATTATATCGCTAAAAAAAAACTATCGAAAAACTATTACGAATTTTCACAAGTCGTATATATTCTGCTATACGTTTTAAAGCTGTACAAGTATACGTTTTAGATCATCTAGCATGCCTAGTACACTTAGTAGTAGATTTGTGAGTGAGCTTTTACCATGTGCACATAACTTTTCCATTGGCAAGCCTAGTGATGTTTAACACCGTGAAATGTCCTCCTAGATTGAAAGGAATTGTATATATAACCATGTCAAGTACGTAAAAAACGTGAATGAAATGTATAGGTACAGAACACAAGCGCACTTTACCCGATAAAAAACCCGTGTCAGTCTGATTTGGTAGTATTTCACCTAACATAATATCCTAACCATTAATGAGTGAAGTCAAATATGCATGTATAAATACATTTATACAATTGTAATATAGTTATTTATTTTTTAGTCGCCTATATTATATAGGAGGCTGAATGATTTTGGAAAAGACACGTGCTTCGGCCGGATTCAAAATATATATTATGTTTTTTATGTTAGCTAGCTAAATAAGCAATTGATTGGATCGTTTGGCGTTAGTCGATGTCGCTCAAGTGCTGCCCAAAAAAGGTTAGACTGAATAAGGAGTTTTGGATAAACTGGTTTTCTATGCACGTACAATCAGTTAGTTATTATTGGCAATGTGGATGACGCGATTGAAGATTATGACCGTCGGTAGTCACTGCTGTTATCACTCGTGGATTCCGAAACAGCCTCACCTAGATTACTGGGTGGCCTTTAATGACGTGCGCATTTGACAGTTACATTAACCGTACTTGAGTTGAACCTTCAATGGCCTGAATTGAGGCAGAGGAGGTTTACACCAAACAAATAGTTAGCTTTTGTTAATCGTTGAATGGTATCGTTGTCTCTCAGTTTAGCTCTAGTTTTAGTAAGTACCTGTAGTAGTAGTAGAAATTGCGCGATTTCAACAACTAATAGGTATAGTTTATGTATAGGGAGTAGATCTCAAAACTGAACCCTGCGGGCTCAATATCTATAATTTTGACTACAGCAAGTCTTATTGGGGCCTTGTATTATTTGTTCCTTATTAACCAGATCTGAGTCGCTGAGTCGTATATCCAAGCCGAAAGAAGGTGTTTCGTTGATTAGTTGTTTTCTATTAACACTAAACGCGTTTTTCAGATCTGAAAACCACAGCTGATTTTTTTGCGTTTTCCGCTGCTAAGTCGAAGAAGTCCTCAACTGCTACCGTTACGTCACCCATCTTTCAACCCATCCTAAGCTCGTATGGGTTTTGTTAGTAATTTTGGTCTTCTCTAGAGAATAAGATTTACTGTAAATTTAAAATTTTGTCCAGCAGTATGCCAATGACAGAAGGCATTGCTATCTGTAAAAAGTCGGTTGCCAAAAGTCAGATGTTCACCTTTGCTGATAGACGTAATTATGCTTTTTTAAATGCTTCGGGGAAATGCCTTGCTTAAAAAAGTTGATACAGATGTAAAAAAAAAATAAGTAAAGAGCTCATGGTTTCGTTATAGTTCATTTCGGTATCTCATTGGAGCCTGCTGCTAAAAAATTTTTGAGTTTATGCATAGATCAAGTCAAATCGTGGCTCCAAACCTTGTCCCCACGCAATTTGTAAAAAGCTCTGTATTATTCACGCAATATTTTCGCCGACAATAACAAAAGGCATATTTATGAGGCCGGACCTTTGTTTTATTGGTAGCTGAGCATTACCAATTTGGAGAACGTTAATTTTACTTTTGGCGATTTGTTTTTCTTTCTAACTCACTGTGTAGCATAGTACGTTGTTTCTTTGAATTGTTTCCACATGTCAAATTGTTGCCCTGGTTGAACGCTGTTGCCTCATTAATTTTATCATCAACTGTTTCCTACTGAAATGTATCCTTGAACATTGATGTGTTAGGCTAGATTGGCGAAGAATCAGTTTTTTTAGGCCGATTGCTTGACTGGATTGTGCTATCTAAAATAAAAGCAAGATTATTCATGCATATACAGATAAATTATACTAATAAAATTCAATCTAAAAGTGGTCACAGTGTATACAAATATGAGTTTCTATGAAGCCAGCTATTCTTTTGGCTTTTAGCTCTCGTTTCCGTACTTCTAAGAGTCAACAGCTATTGCATAGTTTGGCCGCTCGTTTACTATAACTGTCGGATCCTCAATTATGCTCACGTTTGATCTGTCATTCTATTCAGATATTCGTCAATATCTGTACTGTTATCCAGTATATTTCGGTTAATATCTTCCATAATCAATTCATTTAAGTTGTTCTTCTGAGTTCCACGTATATCTACCAAGCCCTCGGTAACAGAGTCAGAAGTTATTTGGCTTGGAAATCTTTCGAAAAATCTATAGTTTATTTCCAGTAGTTTGTCATCACTCAGTTTGACTAATGCTCACAGTCATTTGTTTATTTCGTTGCTTGTAACTTATAGCATGTGTATATTTTCTTTTACGTTACGTAACGCTATTCCGTCAGTTCCTTATTTTGTTTACAGCACGTCAGAAAACGAATGGTAACCTTTCATTCGTTATAGATATTCGCCATTCCTGCATGTTCCAAATCTCATATTAAATTGAACTTATTATCATTGTTTGATATGAATTAATTAAACGGACCACCAAGCAGCTTGTCGTGCAAGATTCAAAGCAAACTGATAGACATTTATTCTTTTCCTCGATGTGATGAATGCATGTATGTGATTGAATACACGTACAGATATAAGCAACAGTCATTTGTTTAGCGCTATAACTGTGTTTGTTTTCATTTGTTCATTTTGCAGGTATGTTTTTATTATTTTTATACTTAGCCGGATGAAGCTGTTATTGTAAAAATATAATATTTTTTTTTAATTCAAACTTCACTATTTGAAATCAGTTTTTTTTTTATACATACTCATATATAATAATATTTTAATCTCTTGCTTCCTAGATAATGGTGCTTTTTCATTTTTTATTTATTTATTATTATCGTATTATTTTAGCTCTGTTCTTTAGAGTGTTATTCTGATGGTTTCTGCGTGATCTGACAAAATTCCGGTCAAACTAGGATGTTTGTAGTGTAGTTTTCCGATTTATTGGTTTGATGTGCTATCACTTTTTTTTTATATCGAATTTACTTAATTACGTTGACCTAATCTTCATGATGGCACGAAGTTCTTCACCAGACATTTTTTTTACTTTGGAGTGTTTTTCCTGTCGCTGGATATTTAACTCCAAAAGAGTCACATTGTTTAATTTTTTATTTTCTTTTTTGATTCCTAAATATTGATCGGCCAGCTCTGATATACGGATATGCTGAGTGTCAAGCCTTCCCTGCAACCAATTTGACAGTCTGTATTAGTGAGTCAATAGTTTCACTTTCGTGTTCTTTTTTGGCGGATTTTTTTGCTGAGACTTTGAGGAATCAGATCAGCACTAGAGTCATTGTACCTAGAGTTTAATTTCTAAATTCCACATATAAAAAAGGACTTTTTTTGGCTTTTTTATGAACGAACGTGGCCTCATTATAGTTAGGGTGGCTTTATTATAGCTGAGACTTTCGCTTCAAATTCACTTATTAGTTCTTTTCGAAATTTGGCAGGAAATGGAAAATTGGAAGAGTGATTTTATTTCTATATGTCACGTTACATATCTGCTATACTTCTGTTTTTACATTAATAGTAACAAAACGGTCATGCCAAATCAAAGGTCATGAATATTGAGATTATAGTGTAACATCTATAGTTTCGTTTGCTTTCTTTCGATTCACTTTTCTACTTTCAGGATTACCACCTCTTATACATAACGCAAAAAGTAACGAAGAGCAATTTGATACGCTTGAAGCTAGCTTTGAGGAACCTAACGTTACTGCTGAAGTAAGATATTTACCGATTTGTCATTTGTGCATCTTAGGAATACAAAGATAGTTGTATCTTAAAGCTAATGAAATGTTTGTCGTTGCTTTGAGGGAAACTCTTATTTATTGCACACTATTTTCCAAGTGAAATATTTTGGAGAAGCTAGTTCCATATGCTATAAGGAACCAAATTATAATTTCCTGTATATTTATTACGGGAAAAGGTGCACGAGTGTAGCAATAGACCTGCGCACTAATAACAACAATTATTTTGTTTCTACACAGTGGAAAAGTTGTCTTCCTTTTAAGTTTAGATCTCTGATCGCCGACACCGACTTCACCCACGACCTCACCAAGATGTTTTCCGGTCAGAGTCTAAAAAATTATTTGTTTTCTCTTGTGAATATTGTTCTCTGTTGTGTGGCGTACTTGTATTGTGGATGTATGCATGTGTGTGAATGTTCCGTCTTGATAGGAAATTGCCGCCAGTAAGAGGTCTACAGTAGTTGCGTCAGAGGCAAGCCAAGAAAATACCGATCATGATAACAGATGGACGATTCACGTTGACCGGAGTGGCCAACGGGACGAAGCTAGACTTAGCATATTGGCCAGTGATGGGAACGATTTTCCAGACAGCATCTATAAAGATAAATCCAATTGGCTGTCCTTAGTACATGAAATGGAGCTCACACGTCCTCTAGGTATATGCGAACGTGTGCGAGACAGGGACTTCAATGGAACAAAAGTAGAGCGCTTTACCGAGGCTGAAGTTTCGCAAGATAATTTAGGTTATCAAGAAATGATTCTTACACAACCTGTGTTACTCTCTAGATCTTCGTCATTGATCAAACATTCGGGTAGGTTACATAAAACTGGCCATATTTGTATACAGGATACACAGTATCTTATTAACAACAAGTAAAGTCACGAACATTATAAAAACTCAGCGGCATTGCGAGTATCTGTTTTCGTGTGTTCATTTTTGTCTACATGTTTGTCTAAAAAGATTACTCGTCTTTTAAATATTATTAAACATACAGTGTTTTTAAAAGCACTTTTTTGTATGTTCTACAGGGGTCTCGATTGGCTCCGACAAGGACAGACTTCATTCAGAAGAAAATTCTTTTAGACTTGAGTTACCTTCGGACCTTTCGCAATCTCAAGGCCGAGCTTCCCATAGCGGAATCGAACGGGATCAACAAGTTATATCAACAGAAGGGTGCATAACTTTCGACTTGCAGGAAGAACTACATGAGCCTATCACTACTAACAATGATAAAGAAAACGTAAGTTCCTGGTCCGATCGAATTATACGCCGGATCGCTACAAAGGACGCATCTCTCGAGTGTTTTGCTGAAGATACACCTGCAGCTAGCGAAGAAATTGGTCTGCTCAACGATGATGAGATTAGGGGATACAGTATCAGAGCCAAAACTCTCCATCATAATGAAGTGAGCGGGATGAACGCGGGCCTAACTAGCAAGCAGTCATTGGTTCAAGTAACGGAAGACACTCATCAGCAAAGAAACGAGAAGCAGGTGAGTTACTCTCAATGAAATTTCTCTCTATTGTAACAGACTGTCTTTAATTTTATCTGTTCATAACAAATAAGTGTATTTTATATTGGCTTACTAAACGCCTGCGCGGTTATCCGCGATTCCCTTAGAAGCGCGGATTTGAGGATGAATGGTGATAGGAGCCGTCGTTCCCATTATCCTTCGGCGGCTAATACTACAGATGACAAGCATTCGTCGGGAACAACGTACAAACTTCCATTATGCCGCAAACCCGTTTTATCTTAAAAAAAATATTTGCTAGTCACTCGAGCGAGAGAGTCTGCTTTTTTAACCAGTTCTAATACAGCGTAAATATAAATCTACATGGAACGCATTTACGGATGCTTTTGAAAGTATTCTGGTGAAAAATGATACTTTAAACGACGAGACATCTCTTACCAAAGATTTCATGAGATATTTTACGTAGTGCCCAACTGCCATTATCACATATTATGTCGTGACTAAAAAGGAGGTTTCATTCTCGGATTTAGAGCTCTGAAATTTCTAGCGCATTTTGATTTAATGCTTTTCACTTTGATATAGTAGTAGCTACTTCTAAGAAAATTACTTAAAAAATTACAACGACATTTTACCAAGTAAGTTGGCTGGTCTCGGGTCTTTTTATACAGAGTGATCACCCACTTGGTTTTTACAATTACTTGAAAAAGTGTAAGACCATAAATTGCGGGAAAACTCGCGTTGTATCTGCTGGTGAATGATTCTCGTTTGTTCTGTGGAATCTGACAGAAAATTGCAATAGTAAAAAAGCGGGCCTAAAATGAGTAAATCTAGTGAATATTTGAATGTGTACTTTTACGGGTCTTTAGTTACGCATAGGAAATATTATCAACTTCCGCTAAAGTTTGATAACCATACTTGGAGAAAACTAGCTTCAAAATAAAGTGCAAGTTGGTATAGAAATCTGGAAAATAGCAATAGTTAAGTATAACAAGCTTGGCATCAACAACTAATAGGCTATGAGTTAAGTAATAGCTGATACTTTCACGTTTTTCCCTCAATGCGTTAGAGATTGAAGAAATATATTTCGTAATCATTTTTCAGATATTGAGTAGCTTTCCCTAGTTTCAGTTAACTTGGATGGACGACAGCTTTCGTTATACTCAAAAATGCTACGTTTAGAATTGGGAAATTAGGCCAGTATCTACACCTCATAAACCTTAAGTACCAATCCTACCGTGGGCTCGGTATTATTAGCCTTAAGTTAAAACCGGTCCTATGTTCGCATCACTATAAGCAGATTGCAAAAGAGAGTGGTATTAACTGTCTATAACATGCTATAAACAGGCCCTAATTTACGTGTTAATGTATACTACTTTTTTTAATTTTGCACAGGAAAAATTAATTCATAACAGGAGGGACGATTCGAAATTTCTCAATTGTTCCGAAGCTATGTTACCAATACATGTTGATGGCCGACAGTGCTTCGTGGCGGGGACAGAATCAAATGACGACGAAAACAGTGGACAAGGTATACCTCCATCCAGATGCTCAGAAGATTTTCGAGTACCAAGTTCAGGACTAACCTCAGACTTATCAACGCCTCTTTCAACCCGAAAAGCTCGAATAAGTGGCGTCTTCTCGGATGACGAATCTCCGTGTATTGACACACGGCGCACCGTTGTTTTGACAGCAGTAAAGAACAAAGCCTCGTTAATCCACTCGCTTCTGCAACTAGCAAATAAAACGTTTAAACGAAGAACTGCAGGAGAAATTGGCCCACTAACGGTAGGCGAAGAGGTGCGTATTAAAGTAAAAATTTAAGGTTTTTTTTCTATTCGCAAACCTTGCCAAAAAATTCTATTCGTGAACAATAAAAAGTCGTTAGAGACTGTCGCAGCGTGGCCTATGTCCCGGGTGTACTACATACAGCGGGTAATGTCGGATCGATTCTTGCTATTGGGACATATCGAGCTGTTACGTTGGCTTTCAGTGTCTTCTGAAGAAGTTTAGATTAGCTAAGCACAACAAGTATCGACGTATAGGGAAAGGAGGTAATTAAGTTGAGTCTTAATTGTTTGTCAGGTAACAACTAAAACGGAAGTCGTCGTCCTGGGCAGACGAAGGCGAACCCTGTCTGTTCTACTGGGCATAGGCTGGGGTTGTTGGTTTGTCGACATTAGATGGGTAAGTTAGTATTTTAAGATGACTCAATGATTTAATTATTTCTCTAAACAGTATTCTTGAGATGCTAGTTCGTGTCCTTATATAAAAGTAAAGAAAAACGTTAAGGAAATAACAAAAAGCCCACGTGCAGCGATAGTGTGATTGTATGCTATGCTAAGTATAATAGTTACGACATATATCTGTCTAAACAATGTATGTCTAGCTATGATATGTATCGAAACAACAACAGACCTTGCTACAGATTTTTTCGTACGTTCTAGAAGTGTCACTTACGGTGACCGTATTTATTCAATGCAGCGACCATCCATTGTGAGTACGGCTTCAGTTTGGAGCCTAAATCGCTTACAACCTCGTCTCAAATTTTTCTTTTGCAGCTGTGATAACGAATTTTTTTTAATAGAATGAGTTAATGCTAGATTCTTGCCCAACAACGCACCATACATAGTAATCTAACGGGTTTAAATGTAGGCTATTCAGCAGCCATAAACGGTTATTCCAAAAAATGCTGATGTTATCAACCAGCCAGTTTTGCTATTATAAAATAGTATATCATCTTGGTAGCAGAATATATTATTTTCTATCAAACATTGTATCTATCCGTGGTCGCGTAACAGTTTGTGTAACATTCAGATAAACTTTTTTGGTGATACGATCGTTTTCCTGAAGAAGAATCGTGGCATGACGTCTCGTTTCCTTGGCAGTGCACTCAAAACCCGAGTCTTGTCTGGAAAATTCCCTTCGTTTACGATGCGTATATCCTCTGGATAATGAGCAAACCACCGATCATTTCTGAGCTTGACTTTTGGATCGGAGATAACTTTTTGCGTCAGAAAACAAGACACGAAGTCGATTTGCTGTTTTTTTTTAAAGATAATTAAGAAGCAAATCACATTAATCAAGTATCTTTGCTTCAGTCGCTTCAAAGACTAAGTAATACCTGCTCTTCGCTTGTATGTCGAAAGACTATTTTTGCCGTGGCTGCAAATTTATATATAGCCTTCTTAGGACACCTTCTTTTCCAGCTGTGCCAATTTTGAAAAATGCATTTAGCAAATCAGGTGAAACCATTCGAAAATATTCTGGATTCATTCAGGCCATTGGGTATATGTATGTCGGTAGCCATGCTTTCAATAAATACTATCTTTCAATAATCAATTACTACACTAATTTGCCTTTTTTTTTTTTCTAATGGCCCTCATTTAATGAATAATTTTTTTAGTCCTTCTTTTTTCTTTGAAATTTTGAAGGTAAGAGCATGCATACAGGAAGATCGTTGGCTAGATCCAGCTCCGTTTGAGATAACGGATTTTCTACCCCCAATGGTGATAAATCGAGCCTCAAAAAATGGCCACACACATGAAAGCAGGCCACTAGAAGGTGTCACTGTATTTATTTCACGGAAACGGCCGCTTAAGCCAACGGCAGAAAACCTTCAACGAATGGTGCTACAAGCTGCTGGAAAGGTATCAATAGAAATATTGTACCAGCATGTTGTTGCTCCTTTAATATTCCCTCATACTGAAGTATTACCAGGTTTATCAGTATTTACGAATTCTGACTTCACTAAGTTAGAATCCTCGACTCCAAATCTGAAAACAACATTCAACATATTTCGAAAAACATAACAAACAAAAAAAATTATTGCGAAATGGTGCAAAACATGTATTTAATAATTTAATGGTTTTTTTTCTCTTAGGCACCTTTTATTAAACGTGTGTAAGAGAATTGTGTGTCAAACAAGTCCACACCCATCGTCCAAAACATTTACGCATCACTTCAAACTAGAGGTGTTAAAAAAGTATTGCTTTTCCTTCTATCTAGATTGCTTGAAAGTCTCAAATCTCAGGTAATTTTAGCCGCGTCGGATCGGTGTTGTAATTTGAAAGCTGAGGTATGGTAATAGTAGACATGTTGTTATTGATAGGTGTAAACTCGAGACAGAGCGCTTTAAAAACGAGTGAAACATTCTGCGAAAATTCGCTATTTTACCATTCTGTTGCCATAAAGGCATAAAGTGGCTAGAAAAAAAAGGTGAATTTGCCGAAAAATTTGGGAAAAGCGAAAAAAATACGCGCATTATCCTAAAAAAAAAAAAACATTCGCTGTCCCGGTGGCTTTTGTAAATAATCACACAGCTATATAGTTACATAACTCTCAGATCTGTTTGTTGGATCTTTTTTAGAGCGTTTTTTATTTCTACGACCGTTTCAGATTGTGTTCGATGTATGTCAAGCCGACGTGTACGTCGGCAGACGACGGCCAGCCAAAAAACTACGCTGCCCATCTGTCAATCCCTATTGGATAATCGGTCAGTATTTTTGTCTATATTTTGATGATTTTACAATAATAATGTTACTAATAATTATCATAATATAATAACTAACTGGATTGAAAGGGGTCTATTTAGTTTCACTCCTTCTAATGTGATCTTTATCTTTCAGAAACTGTTGCAACTGGATTTCGACAATGCGAACACAACTTTCTGCTGTGATTATTTGTATATAAAAAAAAATGTTGAAGGAATCCATGTTAAGGACGTTTCTCGATTAACCATATAGTGGAAAATTATACATAATAAACTAATGTGTATAATTTTTTACCATTTACTAGTCCTATATATTGCGATCTGAATTTGATGAATTATCGATTAGAGAAGAGAAGTGAACTTGGAAGTTTTCATTTTTCTGTAATAATAATAATAATAATAAATCGAAGAACAGTTTTTCAGATATGTGTTGAGCGCTGTTGTTTTGAACCTATTCAAGCAAAGCGTCATTGACGCGTACTATCTCTTACAAAGTTAATGTATATAATAATATAATGACAGATAATCTGTCACTCAGAGCTGACTTAGAACATGGTTCTGTCATAGATAAAATGTAAACGATGATCGATCTTCATTAAGAGGCTTTCAGAGCATGTCGGGTAAGATGAAAGTGAGGATGTATACGCCCAGTGTTGTAAACGGGCATATGCAATTAGACACTTATTTTATATAGATACTTATTTTAGAGACGTACGCCTAACGCGTGTTTATGAAAATCATTTAGTACATTTTCATAAATAAATCTATTAGGCATCGTGACTGTCGTATTATTGTACGATTTAAGTTTACGTTCATCGTATATTCATAATGGCCTTTGCCACGTCATGAGTAATAGAATTTTAATACAAAAATGTCCATACAAAGATAGGAGAGGTTTCGGTCCTTACTAAGCAAAAGAAGAAACTCATTTTCCATACAGGCCTTCCGTACGTTGAAAGTGATTGCCTATACAAAACGCTGGGTCCAGTCATAATCCTGAAATTTCTGAGAAACCCCATAGAGTAAACTCGAATTTTTTAATGACTGAGAATATTAACACAATGGTCCTTCAAAGGATTCTAACCGTACAAGTGTTTTAGACATGCGTAATCATGCGCTGACGAATCGGAATTGATTTGGAAACCCAAATGGATGAGGCATGGATTTTTAAAAAGCCTAAATGTAAACTGAAGAAAAAGTAGTTCAGAAACGGTAAACTAATTACTATCGCACACACATCTAATCTTGAATATCATTGGCAGGCATGGCGTGCTCCAGGCATCGACACAACAGAATGTAAATGTGTTACATAAGGGGAAACGAAACAATTCAAGACAAAGTTATCGACTCTGTAAAATCTAGAGATAAATTAAAAAGCCAGACTCCCAGTATTGAAGGGTGATACATAGCTATTGTTATATGGGGTAAGTTGGCGCCGAAAATAGAACCAGTGGTTTAATAGAGACAAATGCCTTAACCCGTTTTACAGCATTACATCTTGTTTACCTCCAATATATATATATATATATCCTTATCGCCCAAATTTCCTTAGTCTTCACTCTAACAAATAGGCAAAATCTGTCATCAGAGTGTCATAGTAATATTCACGAACTGCTGAACGCGCTATATGAACACTGGGTGATGAATTGAAGTGTGAAAATCCTGAAGAATCTATGATGCTGAAACGCCGCTATTTCAATATATTTAAACTACAAACTAATCCAAACATATTGAGTGTAAGTATGCTTTGTGCTTAGAACCTAATGAGCCTATAAACGGAATTATGCTACTTCCTGCTTCAGTCGACAGGTAGCTGACCCTGTCCCTACCTGTTGTCTACAGATAGATTTCGACAATAATAGCCCTGATATATAATTTTTCTCGGCTCTCGGCTATTTTCGTAAATAAATTGTCTAGGCCGGCTGGCTGTTTTTTGGATACATCTGAAATTATTTGCTTTTTTTAGCGGTCATTGAAACGACTTTTGTATTTGCAGAACCAATCAGTGGGGCGAAGTCGCCATTTTGGGCCATCTACCTCGATCTCAAAAAATAACTATGCCCTCTTTGTGTGTGTGTGTGTGTGGGTGGGTAGTAGACAGCGGTCATTGATTCGTAAGCATTTGTGATCACCTGAATTCATCCAATTGGCTCCCTCATAGCGCAGATGAAACTATCCTTTCTATTCAGTTTAAAGCTTGTAGAGAAATAACCATGTCTTTGTCTGAAAGTTAGATTCCCATATACGCAATACTCCAAGCAGTATTCGATATAGCAGTTGTGCTTCTGCTGTCGACATTTTTAAATGGCTGTTATGAACTGAAGAAAAGTAAAAGAAGTGCTCATTCGTTTGCCAGCTGCAGAATAAACAATCTATACGCTTAACAAAATCGCCGTGACATAAAAGCTATTACAGTGTGTCAATATACCTTCGTCACGCGCCCGCAATGATGTGGGGGCGTTACAGAACGTCTAGTGGTTTATTTTATTCTAGTATTTCTTAATAACTATACTTGTAGAAGAGGATAACAACAATGACGAGCATATACTTTGTCAAACTGTTGGGTTAAATAAAGTAAAAAAATGATATAATAAGTGAGCTATTTGTGGCTGAGATCGACAGCTCGAATACAGTAAAGAAAAGAAAAAAAAAAAAAAAAAAAAAAGCTGGAATCAAAAAATTCCCCAGCAAACGGAACTTAAAGACTTTGAGTACTCGTAATCAACTGGCGGAATTACGAATTGTTTTTAGTGCTAGAATGGAAATAACCATAGTCACACACGTCCATGAGCCCTTGAATCTTACTCATAGGTAGTACAGAGTCCACAGCGGTTTGTTAGGCATATTGTATCGATAAATGAGATGTAAATGTTAGTATATATAGCTCACTTAATATTCGTCATACTCGGTCATACAATAACAACTTTAATGCACCACGTTAATTAAATCGGTAGTTTTATTAGGAAAATAAACATTCATCGATTGTCAGTTAGGTGCTAGCTTTTGTCGTTTTATATACGTTCTATGTATAAAGATAAAAAGGCTGGGCAAGCAGTTTAACTTATTACATCAATATTTGGACTTCACTTGCCCAAGCATTCGCAGGCCTCATTCCGGGAAGAGCGTTCAGGCCAAATAAGGCTGCCGACTCTACCCAACGAGAAAATCCACTCGGGCCCAAAAAAAATCGTCGATGGGAAATAGTTGTTACTCGTTATCCACATCAAATGCCACTTATCACCGTTGACACCCGGATGAAGCAGGGCAGAGGGAGTGCCATCCCCACGTGTCATCTCTACGTGTGGAAAAGCGTGTTGAGGTTTCTACTTTTTTCATATTATAGACAGCCACTTCCCGCTAAACCGAAAATGCCAGATGCGTAACGTTTTGTTCTACGAGCTGTTATCAAAAATGGCAGTAGTTTCGTTTCTTTCTACAGGCTATCATATTTAGTGTGGTATTGTCCTCTTTATCATAAACGTATTTGCACACTAACTATATAACAGCTTTGTACTAGGCCTAACTTATATCTGTCACATTTTTAGATCTACTTCCTCAACACCATACGGTAATAAACCGCTTCCGTTCAGTAGTAGTTTTTTCCGTTGACAAAAGCCGATAGCGGCAAATGGCGAGCGTCATTGATTATCAAGTTGATGGTACAGTGACGTTGGCACAAATCCATTTTGGCTCTTGCTTGAGCGTTGTTATCAACCGTTTTCGCATTGGCCGGGATTCTCTCTGAATAGTTCCGCTGGACTATGGCTTCACGGTACATTCCATCCTAACTCCATTCTACTTGATAATTTTCGTTGTTGAGCATTACTTTTTGATATATAATTCACGTTAATTCACTAACTATGACAAGAAATTAATGGGCTAAACAGATGGATTTTTTTAAGATGGTACGTCGGGAGTAAAAGATATATAAATAAAAAAAAAAAAAAATAACTAGCTTTATTGAATTTCAGCTGCTCAACTGTTTGTGAGTAAAATTAAACATCAACATGTATTTGTGGAAAGTTCGATCGCGGCAAAATCATTAGCTAACAAAAAGTGGAAAACACTTTTCTACGAGATCAATTGACAGCGGTCGTGAATCGGTTACTCTGTCACTAGGATAACACAACACCATCAGGCCAATTTACGTGATACGTCACGGGTTTTCCTCAAGGTCATAGGACTGATAACAGCTAGACGAGTCTGTGTGAACTAATGGCGTCTACATTGATATAACGCAGAGAGACGTCCTGGGCTCCCTTTATCTCGGTAGAAAGTGGTCCTCGTAGTTTTCTGTGTAAACACAAAAACTAAGTAAATCGCTACACGCGATAGAAGACTGCATAGTGGTTTGGTACTATTCTATACAGGTCCATGTCACCCAAAAATTTCAGCAATGAAATGACACCTACACATAAATGTAAACTTCAGACAAACGTATGTAAAAAAAATTTCACGAGAGCATGTTACGCAAGCAATGACCCTATCATAGACTGCCTGGGCGCTTGGGTAACTGAGTTCAAGAAGAGTTCCCATATGAGTAGCTTGATAACAGATCCGATGGGAAATTTCGTGCGTGATCTAAGCAAGGCATAGCAACCGCAATGAAATGGCTTGAAAGCTCTACTGTTCCAAAAATGGCATGGATCGAAACAAAGTACAGCCTTAATTAAATGTGGTCTTCTTACGGAGTACGCTATTTACCAGCTTCTATTAGAGGCACAACTTGCAGCCAATTAGGTATTGCTAATCATCATCCGTCTAATCTACCGATTTTGAGAGGCTCCATATATACAAAAACGAATCACTGAAACTACAAAAGCGCCAAACGGTATCGAAAATCCCGAAATATATTGGGAAAAAATTACGGAGAAGAAACAAATAAAAATAAACTTAGTTCAGTGTTTGTTTTATAACGTCGTAAAAAATAAGGACCTTTATTGTCTGGCGCACTGTTAAAAGCTTGTAGCTTCGAGCGTCCAATTAGTATAGTCGTCAAACTTCAGCTCAATCAAACTAGCATGCAACAGCAAATGTTATACAGTCAAATTGTCTCTTCAGTCTAATATAATAAAACTATAAGACTATATAACACTGTTATAATATATCAATCTAATGAGGCATTTGCAAGTTGAATATAACCAGTATAATATCCCATCATAAATGTAAATATATCAAGCGGTTTCTATTGGTTGAAAAAATCAGGCGTTTTGTTTGGTACTGTCAATTTTTTGATTGATCAGGACTTCTTCAATGTAGGTATAATAGACTAGTTGGAAATATTATCTTCGATCAAGTCTTCTTAGGTTCTTCCTAAGAAACTTCTTAGGTTCTGGTAAGTGGAGCGTGTTTATTACTGCAATCTCAAACAAAGGGCTAAAATGATCTGTGAAAGCTAAAATGTGGCAGTCATACTGTGACTAATGACAGCGTGCCGCGGTTGTTTTTATTGTACTTTCATTTTCTAATTTTATAATTTTCATCTTTGTTTTTCTTCATCTTTTTGTTATCATTCTCTTGCTCGTAGTTAATTAATGCCTATCTTCAGTAACTTTAATAATTAGAGTAACCACAGACATCTGTTAATAATGAGCCTGTTAATAACTGTACTTCGTGTTGGTAGCCAACATCGATTAAAACCGAGCTCACGATTTCAGGTAAACCAAATACTAATGTGTAAGTTATCTGGAAGGGAAGGCAAAGCAAACCCCATTACATCAACTACGCAACAAGAACCAGCGAAGTGTGGGATGCGAAATGCATTAGTTTTATTGGCCATTCGGAGGCGAAGCAAACCCCCAAAGGAAGCGGCGTCCAAAAAAAAGTACATGCTACTAGCAAAGCCGGGGATGCAAAATGCATTAGCTTGAATCAAATAAGCATTGGCCAATAAGACATATATATGGTATATTGAGTATATATGATATATATATATATATGGAGTATATATGGTAAATATATATGGAGTATATATGGTAATCAATATCGTTTGATTACTTTATTCACATTTTATTCATTGTGATCACTGTACTTTTATAACCTGTTTCGTTTTCCTATACATGTCTTTCTTTCCTATTATTTGATAATGATTGCTGCACAGTATCACTATTATATGTACATCGAAAATAGCGTTCCATCAATTTATTCATTCTGGGGATCACTATTATATGTACATCGAAAATAGCGTTCAGTCAATTTATTCATTCCGTAGGTAAGGAAAACCCTGCAAACGTATTGAACAAAAGAGTTTGCGACTGGCTATAAAGTTGCAGAAATTTGTAAAGGAGACCCTACGGCAAGAATCTATATATTAATTGAGAAGCACTCGCTGTTTGTCCAGAACGCAATGGCCCTTGATAGACTTTCGGTATTATCACATTTATAGAGCGGCGATCCGCTCTCGCAGGGAGTTCAGCTGTTTTCTCACTCGAGCGGGGATATCACCTGACAATTGATCGTCAAAGTATTTCTCTATCTCAAACACTTCTTGGCTCCAGAACGTTTTGTCAATCGCAAAAAGCTCCTCGTAACTGACTTCTTTGCCGAGACCATTTAGGTTGAGAGCTTCCTTTGTTGGCATGAAACCAATGGCAGTTTGGCGTGCCGACCCTGGTTTTTGCTCCACCCGCTGAATGATCCAGTCAAGAACGCGCGCGTTCTCACCGAATCCTGGCCATATGAATCGGCCCATGGAGTTCTTCCGGAACCAATTAACATGGAAGATTTTTGGCAGCTGAAGATCGGGTTTGTCAGCAAACGACAGCCAGTGTTCTAAGTATTTTGAGAAGTTGTAGCCGAAGAAGGGACGCATAGCAAATGGATCATGCATAATTTCTTTACCCTTGTGCTCAGCAGCTGCTGTTGTCTCTGAGCGCATTGCAGCTCCCAAGAAAACACCGTGATCCCAGTCCATCGCCTCATAAACGAGAGGCACTCCTTCTGGGCGTCGACCGCCGAAAATGATTGCAGATATAGGTACTCCCTCGGGATTTTGCCAAGCGGGGTCAATAATTGGACACTGACTGGCGGGAGCACAAAAGCGTGAGTTGGGATGAGCGGCGAGTAAAGATCCTTCCTTCTTTTTACCAGTCCATGTCTTAATCGTAATGGATTTACGTGGTTCTGCCATTCCCTCCCACCAGTATGAGCCATCAGATGTTTCGCCGACGTTCGTGAAAATGGTGTTCTTCTCAATAGTCTTCATCGCGTTCGGGTTCGTGCTGTATGAGGTACCAGGTGCGACCCCAAAGAAGCCAAATTCAGGATTTATAGCTCGCAGAACACCGTTTTTATCGAACTTCATCCAGGCGATGTCGTCACCAACACATTGGGCCTTCCATCCAGGCAATGACGGAGTGATCATAGCAAGATTGGTCTTTCCACAGGCCGACGGGAATGCAGCAGTAACATAGTACTTGTTGCCCTGTGGTGAGGTGAGACCCAGGATCAACATATGCTCGGCCAGCCATCCTTCTCGATAGCCCAGAGTGGAGCCAATACGAAGAGCGAAGCACTTCTTGCCTAAGAGCGAGTTTCCTCCATAGCCGGAACCATAGCTGGCAATTTCGTTCCTATGAGGCACGTGTGTGATGATTGTCTTCTCCGGGTTGCACGGCCAGTTGTTGATCGGGGCCCTCTGCATTGGAAGCGGCTGACCAACTGAGTGAAGACACTTCACGAACGGTCCATTGCCAAGTGCTTTGAGGACATCGCTGCCCATACGGGTCATAATTCGCATAGAGCATACGACGTATGGGGAGTCAGTCATTTGGATGCCGATTTTCGACATCGGCCCTCCCACTGGACCCATACTAAACGGAATGACGAACATTGTCTGACCTCGCATACAGCCTGGGAAGCGCTCGTCCCATGCAGCTTTTAGATTTTCGGGGGAGATCCAGTTTCCAAGGGTTCCCTTGACACCGCTTTTCGGAGACGGTATAGCGTCTTCCCGACGGAGGGTACAGATAAAAGTCTTGGATTCCACGCGAGCCACATCTGCAGGGTCGGTGCGTGCCAAGTAAGAGTTCTCATGCTTGTTCAGCTTAACGAGCATACCCTCTGAAATAAGAGAGAGAGAGAGAGAGAGAGACTTAAATTGTTGCGAAAAAAATGAGAAAGATTAAACAAACGCTGGAGTGAAAACAGTATAAAAACAGCTTTTAATTCTTATAGATTCTTACCTCGTAGCATGTACTGAATGAGGTATTCGTTTTCCTCCTCAGATCCATCGCAAATATGTAGCGCATGCGGCTTACATAGAGCGATCTTTTCTTCAACATAGCTCCGAACATGTTCAGGGAGAGTTTTCAAATCGGCATTCGGTCGGAAGCCAACCGATGTCTTGCGGACTTGATCGCCAATCGATTGCGAAAGACATCCGGATGGCTTAAGCCTGAAGTGTCAATAAGATGACCAAAGCTTAAGGTTAAAATATATTCAACTCAATATATTCGATGAGGTTGCTGGCATTGATGTTCCAGCTGTCTGGTGCCTTAAAATAACACAGCGAAATCCCTTCGCGAGTGGCGTCATAGTAAGCGCTTAACGAAGTTCGGTCCCATAACTCAGTAAGTCTCGCTATAGCACACATTTTGACTATATATCATCTCGATAGAACGAACCAACTCAATTGGAATAACAATCGGAAAATATATTTAGTACTGCTCATCTCTGCCACTATTAATTAACGAATAGTTATCATTTATTTTATTGATACGCCTATCGTGCATGCATGTGGTCTGGAGAAGCTGGTGAATTAAATTCAACAAGACGTTAATGAATCGATGATATACTCACTCAAGCTGATGGGGTAAAAAGTAGGATCCGGTGGCAGGCATCTTAGCAGCAGGTCGTGCAGGGAATGCTCTCGGAAACACCACGCTACTCTCATTGAATGGCTCTCGCCAGGCAGTGAACAAATGATGACCTGAGACAGCAGCCAGCCGGCTTTATATACAATTTGACCTATCACCTTCCCAGCGGCAGACGGCAACAGCAGCAGCAGCAGCAGCAGCAACAACAACAGTATCAGTAGCAAAGCAGCAGGACCTAGCTAGAAGCTACCGCTATTGCTGTATATAGCTAACACTCTCCAGACCCAGTGCTCACTTTCCACAGACATCCGTCTGTCAGTCTATCGGCACACTCTCGCTCTCGTATATCGTTCTGCTTAAGCAAAGTCCTCCCCCATTGGAACCTCTCTCATGCGGCCCCAACGCGTCTGCCACGCCACTGCACTACCCGCATACACGGCACAACAGGGCGCGCTGAAACAGGGAGGTCGATACAGAGGGGGGGAGGGGGGAGGGGGACTAACAGAATTGACCAGCGGGCATAGTCCACAACGATAACTACACCATGTAACCTAATAAACTGTTTGTAGTGATGATAATACGATTGAACCAGCGTTTAGCAATGTCGGTCGGTGTCTGGAGCATTGACACCATGCCAATACACAGTGCCACCTGCATTGGAGACTAACCAACCCCGTGTCTTTAAACGCTGCCCTATGAATAGTAATAATCGTAGAATCACATTATTTTCACTTCCATGAGCTAACGCTGAAGCTATCATCTTGTTTCATAAGACGCCCAGTACGTTTTCATTGTCTGTGATTTTCGATGCTAGTCAAGGATCACAATCAGCTGCTCACTAAGAACCGGTCAACATCATTATCCGAAACCGCTCTAAATATAGATAGTTAGTTCAAGGAAAATAAACGAGACATTTGAAGAAAGCGTTTTCGGCATGTGTTGCCCTAAGCTTAACGCATTTTGCCTGCCATATGTTGTCTTTGTGACATCGGCCTTTACCTGGCTAGAAGATTGTTGCTTTGGTCGCTAAGCGTAGTAAAATCGACATATAGATCCACAATCGTCGTCGGTATCCTCTGCAGCCGCTGCTTTATCCGACTTTCGATCAAGTATCGCACAGGCGTGGGAAAGTTCCCTTTTACCATGGGACACGAACGAGGCAATCGGCGACATTTTCAATAACAATTATACCAGTCATCAGAAAATAAACACTATCAAACATTTATAACAAATGCCGTGCAAAAATGGAAGCGAGTTTTTCATGATGCTGTCCTATGCGCACCAAACGATTGATATCCTATCTAAAATACATGTACAAGCTGAAGTTTTCAAGCTTGAAAAGCGTCAACAGTAAACGGAGTCGTAACAGGCCTCGTATACATTTGTTCGTGGGAAGGAACAAATGATCCACAGTGATTTCAGCTATTGTCAAAAATATTATTGCAGGTCGTTAATTGTGAAACGCAAATATCCGTAGTACCCATTAGTCGTAAGCATAGCCCAGCTGATATATACGTATTATTCCAAGTAACTGCGGGTTCTCTCAAATGGAGGCATGCTAAAACGTGGATATTTTAGATATTCAACGACAAATTATTTACATGTTCTACGCAGAAGCTGTAAATTGAAATTAGGCAGCAAAATTTATGTGAAATTTATAACCATAATTTTTCTAATTTTTTTAACTTTTCAATAAAGAAAGTTGCAGACATAGTGAAATCTAAGCCGCCACTTCAGCCGATGAAGTCTAATTTTTAAAATGTGATTATTTAAAATTATTTACACATGTTTACACATTATTTACGTATATTCTAAAGTGTCACACATAAACATGACATAAATTATGCATGTTCCACTAATCAGTAGTGGACTAATTTGGCGATAATAGATATATGTGGATGGAGCAAAGTGAACATAAAATTAGATTAGACGTACATGTATGGATTTGTAAAAAATAGCTGTCAGAATAATTAAAAAAAAACTCCGATAAAAATTTCAGTCGGGAAGTACCTGGACGTGAGAAGTCTGGAAATACATGCAGGATTTGTCCTTCGGCCGACAGGTTCCTGAGGTAATCGAATGTAGAAAATGTTTAAATTGACCAAGTTTAATTTAAACATTCAGTAACGTCTATCCACTTGCCTGCAAGCCATGAAAAGCAGAAATGACTTTGAATACGTTAGAAAAAATTGGCTGATCAGAGTATTGCAAAATTGCATAGTCGTTAAGATATCTTTCGATGAAAAATTTGATAATTAGTTTCAGTTAAAAAAAAAAAGTGTATAATCTAATCAATGATTATACAGACGGGTTCTTATCAAGCAGACGAAAAGTTCGTCTGTGCAGTTCATCCACCTGCTGCTTCCGTACTTTTATCACCGGCTACAGCTGTTTAGTCTTGTCGAGTTTTATAGGTTTAACATTGTTCACCTATTTTTTGCCTGCCTGCCAAGAACTCCAAAAGCACAGCGACCTTGTTGCCGTTTATGGTGTAGTTCAGTGCTACGCGCGCTATCGCAAACGTAAAGATGTATCAAGCTTCATAGTTCAATTAATCATGGGGTTTGACGAATTGGAACTCCTCAAAATGGGGCAGACAAACACCCTCTGAGGAGTCATACGAGAAAAAACAACTAGATAGCCTATATTTCCATAATCGAGACAAATGATTAAATCGAGGTTTACCGTTAGAGTAGAAATTGTGTATGAATCAGTGATGATTGATGCTTTTCGTACGGTAGTAATACCTTAAAACGTTCTCGTACAAAGCCTATTAACTGCGAATTTTAAGCTCATGAAAATCTCGATGTGTTGCGTAGGTTTTTAGATATAGAAATATTTGATTTGAATGATTCACAAGCACAGGTCTATAATTAAGCTGATAGCGTTGTCTAAGTAAAAAAAAATTCTTCGCGCGATTCGGTTACTGATTCAAAGGCAGGAGGTACATTTCACCCCGAGGACTGCGTGAACAGAAGGTATATTCATGATAACAGAAATATAGCTAAAAAACAGCACTCTAAATGATAATGCGAACCTGGAACTTTCCCAGCTCAAGTCACTTTGGCTTTGTGAAGATACGTAGGTTTGATGGAACATTTTCTGTTTCAAACCTGTTTGAAAAGTAGCATTAATTTTTGCATAAAACAAAGCATATTTAATTAACCAACTCAATCGTTTCTCATAAACAGCCCCTAGCGCCATGCATAACGCCCCCTAACTATTCGTCAGGACATGCGGGGCTTATACAGAAGTTAGCGCTTGTGTATAGACCTATTCAGTATTTTTTAGTTCCTTTTGCGTGTGAACTTTTTTCTATGGATTTTTTTTCCGTGAAAACACTTGCGAAGTAGCTTCGAGACAGTGCCGGTTTTCTACAAAAAGTTCATACGGAGAGTGAGCACCGACAGGGGTGCTATTGCGTTGAAAGCCCTACCGCCATTGTGGGCTCTATTAGCATTTTTATCACTGTGGGCTGAACGCTTGAGTGCAATTTTTTTTTGTTACTTGTAATCAGAAAACTTCACAATGCTTATGGAATATTATATAACAAAAAAAAAAAAAAAAAAAAAAAGATCTTCGATTTGACCACGCCAACCACTTTGACGCGAGTGATCGGGAGTAAGTAGATTGCTGTTACCTTTCAAACGAGCCTGTATTAGTTGTGACGGTTGAAGCGCGCTACCTCGACCATATGTAACTCGTACCATACCGAACAAACACCGTAATCATCGTTTGGATCGAATTCAACTTCCTTTTGAGTTGAAGGGTAGATATTTGCAATAGTATTTTAAGGACCTGTATATAAACGTATTTACAATGCAAATAATCATTGTATTTGAAATAGTTTTCAGTTCAGGTTGTTTCTGCGCATGTTAGACAAATATGTTATTATACCTGCTTGTTCGACGACTGCCGTCTTTGACTATTATGAGACCCCTTCAGTATTTGTCAGATTAATTAACCTTTACACTTTCATCTACGTAGATAGTAGTTCCATTATACAATTTATTTTAAGTTAATTCTAGTTTCTTTCTTCGGAATATCTTTTAAACATAAAGTTTAGACCACACCCCATTTTGGGGCTTCAAGATGCCTTTTTATGTGCACCGCTGCATTTCGTGAGTATATATATGTACGCCGGTTTTACAATATTTTTCTACAAGTGTATGTAAATTTTTTTTAGGAAAACATGTGACCATCGTATTATCAGCACAAGGCTAAATTGCACTGTCTCTCAAATCTGATAAATGATACTATTATGGGGGTATGAAAGAATTTGGTTACACGATGAGCTAAACGATAGATGATTCGGTCGAGCGCAGTAGGTTTCTCTGGCTAAAGAAATCAGGTAATACAGGCTCAAAACCTTGCTGAGCAATTTATGTTGCACGCGTATGTTTATGTAGTATACGTTCTGTATTAGTATTATTATTCAACCCCACGCAGCTCATGAATATTATATGCTGTAAATGCATTCGTTGCTAATGCTAATGCTAAGGCTTATTATCTTGCCTGTCTGTAATGTTATTTTGACTGCGATAAAAGTCCCGAAAAATATATGTAGGCTAGATGATTATCAATATATGCATTGTGCTGTATCGTTTGCCATTTGCCAGGGATGCCAGGCAAGGAGACCAAATCGTTGCCTGTGTTTTCTTGATGCTTCATGAGTTTGAGCGCGTTCATGCCTCGCATGTCAGACGACTTTGACGAAAGGGCATTAATAATATATGGTCCTTCGTCACGATAGCTGTGATCATAATGGTAGTAATAAGTAACGGCCGGGTGAGGGTAGTTGAATTCGTTACTGTGGCTCCGGCCGTTCTTTCTTACCACATCTTTCAGTAAACAATTGACAACCTGTATGAAGCTCATAGTTGCACGGCGTAAATGTTACTATGCCTAATAGTGAGAATCACGAACCCCGGCCTATTACAGGAACGTTGAGAAAATATACTTTGTCTATATGCAAGTGATACATTGTGCGTATTATGTTGTTGAAAATATGGTAAAACGACGCGCCAGCTCACACGGACAAACTGGTTTGGTCTGTATGGAAACGACATTCATGGCAGCTGATGAGATCAAAAAGCTCGGCCTGTGCATCT